ACAGGTACACTCCTACTTCGGAAAAAAACTGGCGTTGGAAGGCATCAGAACAGAAGCTGAGACCGCCAATAACGTAACAGAAAATAGTCTTCAAGAAGTTATTCAGGTGCATAAGTACGTTTTAACAGAAAACACTTTTTTTTTTGTGGAAAACATTCTAATAATATTCATCAGTTACCTTTTTATGTAACAAAAACTACGACATTTTTTTGTTTTTAGTATTTCTATCTTGAGATTCCACAGGGTAAATATTTAACACAATTTTTTTATAATTTAGATTTAGATTTTTTTTAATTAATGTTGTTTTTAATAATTATAAATAGACCATTCTTTGCTATAACAATAATGGAATGAAGTTTAGGTGCTCTTAACTTATATTTTGATTTTTCAAAAGAGTAAAATAAATTAACTTTTTACCTATAAATCGAAATGTTAATTCTAACTTGAATTAAGCTATTAGAATTATTTCTTTACTTACAAATTATTTTTCGAAAACAGTTTTTAAAATAATAATATCCACAACTATTACAAACAATAGAGTAATAAAAATAATAAACTTAAGAAATATTTCGGGTGTTTTGCGATTAAGAATACAATTGCTCCAATTCACTTTAATTAAGGAAAAAATAACGAAGGTGATGCCATAATTAATGATCAGAGTCATTAAAACAAAGTAAGCATTAAAAAATATTTTTTCATTCAATTAAATTTACTTTAATTTAAGAATCCTGTGACGAAACTCAAGTACTTAAGTTCCATCTTACACAGATCAGGAAAATCTCCATGTAATGAATATTATAAATTTAAAAAAAAAATTAAAACCTGCTGATTGCTTAAATTATTTTTATGAAAATATAAATATTAGGATTTGGAACATTTAGTAGGACACCAGATACAATAAGGATCAGTCCCAATTATGGAAATCTGTGTAAAAAAAAAAAACACTGGTTCATCATCACTTTAAACAATAAATTTTTGTGAAAGCAGTATTTTTAACATTTTTTTTAATAAACCTAATGTGTATTATTAAAATAAATTCCATACAATATACCCCAGCTCTTAGAAGAAAAATAAATTAATGCTTTCTAAAAATTTAATTTCTAAAAGCCATTTTTTGTGAAAAAAAACCATTACATTTTGGAGACAGAATATCAAATCACACATCTCTTTTTATACAAATAGAAGGAATACATCAGGCAACTTTTATTCCAAGAATACTTCTCACTTGTGTTTACTTCTTCCTTTTGTAATGTTAAATACGATTTTTGCTTCACACTGAATTATTTACGTTCCTCATGTTTTTTCTATCTTGAATAATGAATTTAATTTGAACAATATAATAAAATAAAAAGGTAAATATTATCACACTCACTTATATATTTGTACTTATAAATCATCTAATTTATTATAAAAGTGCTTACATGTGCAATTTAATACAACAAAAATCAAAATCGTACAATTTAATCCAAAAACGGCAAAACTTGCAATTACTTATTGCATATTGCCATACTATTTAATAATTACTAATTTCTTCCTTATTTATATAAGGAACTATTGTTGCTTATTGCTTCCTATTTAATAAAAAACGTAACTTAATTAAAAACGTAACTTAATTATTTCATTCATTTATATAATTTCCATGTATATAATCATTGTTTAAGCTCTTGATGGCTGCTAACATGTTTTTAAATATTCCCTAACTTACTATTTGGTTAAAAGATTATCAGCGTAAACAATTATAACTAAACCAATTTGGATTTTTTCCTCATTATTGAACTGAGAATTTTTATAGTCGTACACAAATATCCTAAAAAGATCGACCAGGATCAGGAAACCGCCAAGCAAGACTATTAGTCCATTTAAATTAGCACAAAAAAAGACCTTGCAAAAGGTCTGGCATTTCAAATTCCTTTTTTATATTGTTAGGTGTGTAGTGAATACAAAAAGTCCAAATTTCCGCCCTTAAAAGCCTTGTGGGTTTGCTACAAATCACTAAAACCATTGAAATTTCGAACTTTTTTTGTTTTACGCTAAATATCTCCTTTTCAGAGCAAGATAGATTAAGAATGGTTATATTTAATCTTAAACAGCTTAAAATTATCAAACATTTTTACACGTAACATTTTGTTTCTTAATCAACAGGAAGCGAACTAACGAGCTTTCAAAATGGATAAATTTTTCAAAATTCCCTCCAAAAAATGTATACTTTTTTTGTTTTTAACTAATTATCTGTTTTTATAGGGGAGTTCGCTCAAATTTTAAAATTAAATATTAAAAGAGACAATTTGTTACAGCTTTTATACATAACATATTTGGAAACTTAACAACTTAAATACAAATCCCTAAAAACTAATTAATGTTATGAAATTCAGAAAAATCCTTATAATTTTATTTTTACTGTTTTCCACTAATTTTAATGAAATAGGTCATCAACAATTGCTGTTTATCTCGCTCTATTAATGCCACATCATTCAGTACTGCCATAGTACATCATAAATGGCATCGTTATACTGCTACACAAGAATATAATGCGTAAAAATAAAATAAAAAAATTGTTTTGGACAATTAAATTATTGCATTAATATTTGTCCGTTAATGCAATCAAAATAATGTACTATAAACGTTATTATATTATCATAATGTTATTATGCCATTTATGAGTACTGAATGATGTGGCAGAGGACTCTAGGCGCCTATGGCAGTACCGATTTTTCGCCAATTAAGTGAACACTACTTATGTTAACAAATACAACTGTACCAAATTGGATTATGTTGATGATATATGTAAAATCCGATTCGTTTGAATTAGGACAACCTGTATCAATATCCTTTCCATGTTCAACCAACTCTCTTACCCTGTTAAAACTAAGGAACCCAGTAATCTTTCTTCTATCCTTGACTTAATATTAGGAAAATACTTTCTACGATATAATTGTAAAAAAAAAAAAGGAAGTGCGGCAAGATGTGAAGCTCCATCTGTTCAAGTCTGTCTTTCTACCGGTACTTCTTTATCGAGCAGAGAGTTGGATCCTGAATGAGAGGTTACAAAGCCGTGTTACTGCCGCTGAGATAATGTTTCCTAGAAGAATTGTGGGGAAAAGACTGTATCCGAAATGACAGGATCACGGAGGAGTTGAAGATATGCCCCGTGCTAGAAACTTTGGAGAGGAGACAGCTGAAGTGGTACGGGGATGTCTGCCGGATGGACCACCACAGAGACCCAGTTAAAACCCTAGAGATGAGGCCGATGGGGAGAACACCGACAGGGCGACCAAGAACCTCATACGTTAGTCATTTGTAACAAATTGGAAGACGAAGAGGGAAGACCCTGGAAGAGATGAGAAACTTGGCCGGGAACAGCGATGCATGGGACCGATGGCTGGAAGCACCCTCACGCTGAGAGGCAAATAGGTGGAAGAGAAAGAAGAAGAAGAAGATATAATTGTAATATTCCAAACATAAAGTCTAAGGATTTAACAAGACCAGTAAAATAACCAGTCAACATTTCCCAATGTCAGGCACTTTCAGAGCAGAAAATAACAAAATCAACTTTATCCAAACCACGTACAGCATCATTTAGCAACTGCCAAAAAAGAAGTATCAACAGACAGAACATAGCTCCAAGACATCAAAACACACTGCCAGTAGGGAATCTCAGAGGCCCCACGGAGGGTACATGTCCGTTGCGGCGGATATACCGCGATACACATCTCAAACGCCTTTTCTTCAGGCAGTGAAAGGTCGTCAATGGGATATTTCTTTTCAATAAACGATTAGGTTGATTCTTCAAGGGTGGTTATCTCCTTTAATAACCAGCAGTGAGGACAGTCTCTCAGCCAATGCTAATGACTGAGGAGAACTTTGCGTTTGGATGAATATAAGTAATTGGTTCAACCCATTTCTCATTGGATAAGATGGAAGGATCTGCTAGGTTATCATTTTTAACGAATGAGTAATAAGTGTAATTACCAATATCTATTCAAATTAGCCCAGTCTTTTAAATGTGGCATTGATGCCCGACCTAAAGAGAAAAAAAGTGGTTTTTAATTTTATAAACATTGAATACAGAAATAGGGAAATCCCATCCATTCTAAGGAAAGATACTTCCATAATCTATTTAAAACATCTAGGTAGATTGCAAGGGAAATTTATGTCTTGGAGTATTTAAATTTGGTTTTCATATATGGTGTTCACTACATTAACGGCTCCTGGCAAGTAGATTTCGTCCCGTATGGTGCACATCAACATCCGAAAGAGTTGAGTTTCCTTCAGGGGTAAAAGGCACCCCACTACTAAACCAAGTTTTAATATTTATAGATGTCAATTTGTCTAATAATCTATTAAGTACAAGTACATTACCATATATGGTATGGTGACCTATATTCTATAAAGGATGGATGAGATTTCCTAATTTCTGCAGTCGATTGTTTTTTTGATGTGTTACCTTCTTTATTTATCTTCTTTCGTAAGATCATGGATATTGAATTAATAAACTTTTAATTTGCATACCAAACAAGTATATTTTTCAGTAACGAAATAAGTCATACATACATCAAAAAATGTCCAGATGATTATTGTTTGTTTTCGTACCTAAAATAAGATATGATTTTATGTCATGGGCATTTTATTTTTTTTTTTTAAGAAACGCCTGAAAATAGCTTATAGAGATGTTTTTGGTGTATAGCTAAAATAAACGCCCTTTTTTATATTAATTTAAATATTTAATGGAAATAATCTCTCTAAAAAACACATTTTAATTCCCCAAAAAATGTTTTATAATACAGCTTTACGACCGTGGGCCTCAAATGTACATATTCCCATACATCCACAAGCTTCTTAAACCCGAACGGTTTTTTTTTTTGTTTACCTCTATGTAAGAAATAACAATATTAGATTAGAACTCTTCTTATACTATAAATTATAAACAAAAATAAATAAGGAAGGAAGATCTATTCTTAAAACCATAACTTATTTTGTTTATTTTTTTTCAATCGATGTAGGTTTACTGGCATTTAGTTTGTTATGTTAATGGCAGTGCAAGTGAATGAAAGTTTCTTTAAAATGGGGTTTAGTATTAGAGAAAATTATCATTTTTTTGTGTAATAAAGTGACTTTGTTATCATTTAATATAATATTCATTACTATGAACCTATCCACATTCAGAAAGTTCTCTACTACAGCCCATAGTCAAACCTACGTACTTAAATGAAAATCCAATGGTAAATAGGTTACATTGTAACCTACAATATTTTGTTTCTGAAATATAAATATGAAAAGTTTATATATTTTTCTCATCAATACTTCAAAATTTTCTAAAAGAGTTATGTGATTATCAATCTGAAAGTTGTTTTGTCTTAGTTTTTAGACTTAAAAATGATGAGGCTGTCCAGTTTATTCAAACTGAAAGAAATTTTAGAAGATGTGGGATAACATATGAAGTGGACCAAGTTTATATTTTGGAATGGCTTCCATAAGTGGAGCTCAGACTTCCAGAACTTTACTTGATATTATTCCTCAGTATTCCAAATCGAAGGTAGCATTTATAAACTTTTTTACTGGTTCGTTTACAATTGTACATTTGAATTCCGTTTGTTTACATTTTATTCACATTTTAATTATTAATAATTAGTTGTTCACAATCAAAATTTATATTAAATCAAATGCTAATAAGGTTATTGAACTGAATTTTTTTTTATCATTCATTTTTTTTCTGTTAATTTCATCTTTAAAAAAATATATAATTCCCAATTTTTTGACATTGTGCCTTAATTTGACTAAAAGTTCAATAGTTAATCAATTCATAGTAAATTAGTTCTAATTTTTTATTTAGTTTTAAATTTCACGATAAAGCAATTAATGTTCTATATCTTCATTGATACATCAAAGTTTCTAATGCTCTTCATTGATTTCAAAGGTGGACTTTTTTTTTATTAATTTATCTTTTCTTGTCTTGAAATTTTCATTGCCTTCATTAAAATAGACGATGTTGATGTTCCTATATTGACTAAATTGTTGCAAAACTCTGTAGGAACAATGCTTTTGAATTTTTCTAATAAATTTTGGCCTCTCGTATTCAGAATCAGACCGAAAATATTATTTAAAACATTTTATCTTTGCCTTAACTATTCATTAATAATTAAACTGAACATCTTTGTATCGAAACTAAAACGTACAGTTGATTTTTTTTTGTATATATATATATATTTTTAGTTTTTGCATGTATAGAATTTTCTAATGTTGCTATAGATTTACCTTGCAACAAATATACATTATAATTCATAAATATACCGATAATTCATTATATACTGGATTGTGAGAAAAATTGTCTGAATCTCAGTAAAATTTGTATTTACATTTATTACACTAAGTATTCTTCATTTTGTTCTATTACTAGCATCATGTCAGTCCCAGATGCCAAAAAATGGTTGTTTTTTTTTGGCTACAGAAACCTTTTATTGATAACTCTCTCCCTTCAAGTGTTCTGAATTTCACCACTCTTATCAAATGATATTGTGAAAGAAAACAGGCAGTAATTTGATGAGGGCTAAATCTGATGAATTAGGATGGACTCCTAGCTAAAACTTTTTTTTTTTACTAGGTCGCTTTGTTCGGTATTGTCATGGTGCTAGATAAGTAACCCCCTTCTTTTTTTTTTTTTTTTTTTTTTTTTTTGTCATCACCTTTTAGACTATACAGTGTTTTTACCAGTACAGGGAAGAGAGCTGGGGATTATTGTCAGAGTTAAAAGCCACTTCGTTACTTAGACTTGAACTCATAATTATTTTATCATTTTATCTTGTTTATCAAATTGCCAGGAAATGGTGGCTTGCACACCTGTTAGTCTGCCAGCCACCTCACGCCCAAACTTGATAACCTCCTTCTAGTTCACCATGACAGAATGTTTATCTTGTAAACATTGTCTTATTGCCTACAGTAGACTTGCTCATTGATTGCTTCATTATTTTTTAACAGTTCAAAGTGGACCATATCTTACCTATTCCACCAGGCTCACATTCATTACTCCTTTTTTTGGGTTGCAGTACTTGTATTGTTGTCACAATTAAATACAAACTTCATTCTATGTCTCAAATATTCCTTTGCCATTTTCACATCATACTATTTAAGACATAGAGATAGCTGACCATTGATGTAATTTAAGAAGATGTTGGCCATAAACAAACACAGAAGAGTAAAAAATTATTTTATTACTTTTTCCTTTACCACTACAACCCATGAAAGGCCTTGGGTGTACTGGGTTCACACTTTATAGGGAAGTATTGTTTATAGGCCTACTGTTGTGTAAGTTATTGTATCTATAAAAAATGGTCACTCAATTCATATTATTTTATATAATTATATCTTTTTGGTTCATAAAGTTGTCTTTATTTCAGATTGATGTAGGCAGTGTAAGATTAAAATCATTAGTCAGTATTGGCAATGTCCAATGTTCAACTTCCCGCTTTCCAAAATTAGAAGAATGTGCACACTTTCATTATGATCATGTTGATTTACAACCTATACAGGTATTTATATTTCAGTCCTGCTAGATGTAATTTTATGTTTGATTTATTATTAAAATTATTTTTGTCTGCATCAGTTGAAACTATTAGAAGATTCAGTCAAAGGGGAGGGATTCGAAGGAATTACGTTGAAAGTGACTAGTGGTCATGAAGCTTGGCAAATACGTAGAACTTATGACCACTTTTGTAAGCTCGATGAACAGCTGCACCAATGTGTATTTGACAGAAAATTTAGTGAGTTACCTATACTGTCACGGATGACGCCCAAAAATGATGTACGTGATAACTATGTGATTATAAATAGATGGTTTTAACTTTTTTATGTTTCTAACAAACTTGTGTCTTGCAGGCAGAAATCAAGAAAGTTCTGAATAGTTATGTTAAAAGATTGAGCTATATCGGTAGTGGTTGTGCTATCAGTTGTGGACCTGCATTGAGTTGGTTCGAATTGGACAACCGAGGCAGAAGGATTGTAGCTGCAGGGCAGGGGATTAATACTCCTGCTGTTGCTGCTGCTTTTGCAACCACTCCTTATACAGCTCATGCCACTGATGAGCTTTCTTTTCAGGTATTTTTTCTTTTTAAATATATATAAGCTTACAATTAAATATAAATAACCTTACCAAGAGACTTCAATGAATTGTTAGGATATAATTGGAAGATTACAATCACAAAACAAAGTGTCTCTAAAATATTGGTAAAAAATTTATGCAACTCATCAACATTTTGTCACTTCAGGTTTCTGAGGACAGAAAAACCAAGATCTAATGTATGCATGGCAAACACATTTCACATCACATTCTAAAAAAAAATAATTCAAGTTGAGACAGTACATCATTCCAACACGGACTGAAAAAAAAAATTTAGAAAATACTAACATTTTCGTCCCTGTTGAATTTTGATTTTGTATGCCTATTTCATATAAATCATGAGTGTATGACCCAGGTCTGTGGTTAACTGAATAACATCCAAACCTAAAAAAAATTACAATAGAAAGCATCTCATGTTTAACTTCATAATATAAAAAAATCTTTTTTTCTACTGACACATTATGATTTAAACTATTTAAAGAAAACAATATTTTTGTTTCTTTCTCCTTGTGACATAAGCATACCTCGGCCAGTTACTGAAGGCTGTCCTCACTCTTCCACTCTTCTCTGTTCCAGATTTATTAACATAATGCCTTATTGCTATGCCTAATGAGACTAAAGCTTTCCACAATAACAGTCTATTGTTACCTCTATCAATAGTGACATTTGAAGTCCTTTCCAGCTTAGTGGAAGGAATGGCTTTCATAAAAAAAAAAAAAAAAAAAAAAATTAGGAAGAATATTTTGTTTATATTACTTAAATTTATTTGAAAAACTATTATCTGTATGTTACTTGCCTATTATCTATTTGGTACTTTTTGTCTAGCGGGCCGGCACTGACTGCTATATACCAATGTTTATAACCTGAACACTGATAATTCCCATAACACATTGATAAGCCTTCTCCTACTTCATATCTTCATAATATTGTATTAAATTTGTATTATTGAAAGTGTAAACAAAAACAAATGTAATAACAAAAAAAATACTTTTATTTACGACACATATATTAATGAAATAATAAAAAAACACTTTAAGAAGATATGTACATGTAAAACATCAAAATGAAATAATAAAAAAACACTTGAAGAACATAAGTAGATATAAAAGATGAAAATGAAATAATAAAAAAACATTTAAAGAACATATCAACACTATAAACAACATATGTACAATTTATTTTCACTTTGTCTTATTTATTTTGGAAGGAAAAATTGTTTTATGCTATTTAAAATAGTGAGAAACGGGTCCTCTTCTCTGTGAACCCGCCGCCACAAAACCTGCTCTTTGCCCCACTTCATCGTTGTTATGCTATGGGACCACCCATAAATCAATTTTAAAGCTGTTAAAAACGAAATCCTCGAGCCCTCCATCCATGTTCCTTTCCTTATTGAAAGTTTTGTGTCACAAGTCCTACGAAAGCATCTCCATTTGGCATTCCTGGTTAACTTCTTTCAATGACCTCGTTCACCCAATTTCACATCTGTAAGTATCCCAACATTTTGAAAACATTGAATTGCCTGTTCTTCTGAAGACGGCAGATCCCATATTCTAAGAAGATCCATAATATGACGAAAATAAATGGAAAAAAATGAAAAATAAACACAAAGGTGCCACAAACTAAAAAAAAATGAAAAATAAACAAACGGGCCAAAAACTAAAAATAAACACAAACGGGCCAAAAGTAAAGAATTTAATAAGTGAACGTAATAAGGGAATAACTGAAAACTAAACAATACAATAACTCAAAGGTTTGGCGGGATAAGAAGAGGGAGGTTATGTGACATGACGTTAGATAAGAAGTGAGGTTTCGTGCCGGCCCGCTAGACAAAAAGTACCATCTATTTAAACTAAGCTGAAGGGATTGCTTAGTTACTTTGATGATATAAAATAAATAAATTAAAAGGAGCCAGTTCAAAAAATAAAATAAATTGAAAATAGAATATGTGTGTGTGTATGTATATATTTATCGTGATATACGCCAACTATGGACCACACGCATACCATTTCTAGTTTTTTTGGCCCATTTTTCTAATATTATCTCCCCTCTGTCTCCTTCTTTCCTTTGTCCATTTCTTACAATCTTGCTTCGTCTTCTCCGCTATAAGAGCCTTTATATTGTTCACTATTTTGCCTCTCTTGGTAGTCTTCCTCTTTGATACCCATTCTTTCTACTTCTTTTATTTGTTCTGTGTATCCTTTTATGTTTTTCAGTTCCATCACTTTATCGAATATTAGTTTCTTTAATCTATTCTATTCATATGCCTGAAGAATGTTAGTGTCTCCTTTTTTCCTCGTTGACGTTTCTAAGTTTTCAATACGTTCATAAAGCTCACTGTTCTTTTTTAATCGGTATTCTTTCTCCATTCTTCTCGTCCCATATATTATCCTCATTCTCTTTCTTTCGATTCTCATTAACGATTCCATGTTGCTAAATCTCATAGTTTCTATCATTTTTATTACTATATCTTATCTTCACAGGTGAATGAAAATTGAAAATTTATGCTAGTACCCAATTACAAAAATTTATTACCTATCATGAACCAAACCAAACTGGTTAACGAAATGTATGCTTCTGTTCTGCGTACATTTATAATGTGTTTAAATGACTACTTTGAAATGTGATATAAAGTTCTTTTGTGTGTAACAAATATAAAAATTATTAGTTTCAGTCTAGAGAAAAGCAAAATTAAAAGCTTTTACTATTTCATTGTAGATTGGAGACATGATATCTGTTATTGATATGCCTCCCGCAGAAGAAAGTGTTTGGTGGAGAGGTAAAAGAGGATTTGTTGTTGGATTTTTCCCTTCTAATTGTGTAGCTGTAATAACTGATAAAATACCAAATGAAATAGCTTTGGCTGAGCCTAGTAAACCAGTGCTAAGGTAATTGAATCTTATTGATGAATTTATAAAATTAATATTATTTATATAAGGTGCTCCATTCAAGATACATGATTTTGCCTTTTCACCATTATTTTTATTTATTTTTTTACTCGACAGCTGGTATAATAACATTTTTTTTTTTTATGTTATTGTGTGCATGGCGTATTATACTCGCGATCAATTATAAAAAAATTAATTATGATGACATGTTGGATTCCTTCTTTCTTTGTGGAGCAACTCATGTGTAATATTGTTTTAGTTCAGAAATATATAACCACTTTTTTTATTTTCTAGGAAACATGGAAAACTAATTGCATTTTTTCGAGCTTTTATCCTTTCAAGGCCCTCTCGTCGTCGCTTGAAGCAGACTGGTATTCTAAAAGAAAGAGTGTTTGGTTGTGATCTTTCAGAACATTTGCTTAACTCTGGAAGGGACAGTATGTTTATTTTTATATTTTAAAAATTCATAAGTCACAAAAAACAATATGTATATATATATATATATATATATATATATATATATATATAAATCTGCACATTTAAATAACATTGATTCAATAATTAGTTAAATGTTGTTTATATTAGATAACTGTTATAGCTTTTTGTTTCCCAGTCCCTCTGGTGCTTAAATGTTGTTCTGAATTCATTGAAGCTCATGGCATAGTAGATGGTATTTATCGTCTTTCTGGAGTAACTTCTAACATTCAAAGATTGAGGTAATATATCACATTATTAGTAAACAAACATTAAAATAAAGCAGAAAATCCCATATTATTAAAATAATGTATATGATAATGAAATTTATTTTCTTCAGTTTTTTTTTCTCTGTAATATAGATGAATCTATGTAAGGGAAATGAAATGATAAATAGTGTTATATATAATTATAAAATCCTTAGTGAACAGCTGATAGTTGATCAGTCACTGTCTACACACTTCATTTTATTAGTAAAACGCAAAAACACTATAGGATGACATATTAAAAATAACTATTCATTGAATCATTTTTTATTTATTAATTTGCTTTGTGTTATTAAATGCTATTGGTATATTTTGTTTAATTGTTCTGTTTATAGATCGATTTTCGATGAAGATAGGCTTCCAACTCTTGTTGAGGACACAGTTATAAAGCAGGATATTCACAGTGTTGCCTCCCTCCTTAAAATGTACTTCAGAGAACTTCCTAATCCTTTATGTACCTATCAACTTTATGAAGAATTTGTCGCTGCTGTTCAATCATCAATAGATCATCGCATTGAAAATATGAGAAAAGTAGTGCGAAAACTTCCACCACCACATTACAGGTTTGTTTTTGTATTATTTTATTATAAATTTATTGAATTAAAGATTATAAATTTGATTTTTAGGTTTCATTTTAATTATGGTAATTAATTGTTATTATTCAATATATATTTTTTAATATAAACATATAGTATGTGTTTGGTTGTCATGGTGTGAAGTAATCTTGTTTTTTCTGTCCTGATGATGCCTGAATTGGCAGAACATTTGTGGGCTAGTTTATTTTTTACATGCACTTTAATTCCACCTTACACGGTAAATATTGAATCAATAATATCTTAGCATACATATTTCGCTGAGTCAATCAATATATTCGATATAAAAAGCAATTTATTTTGGTCTTAAACGACTCTTATTTTGAGCATTATTTTTATTTTTTTTTTTTTTTCCAAATAAGAACTAGTTCAATGGTTTTTCCTAGGGATAGCCATTTCTTTCATAGCACAACAGAGTTTCTCTCTAATTACCCATTTGTAAGTTTCCTCAAAGATCACAAAAAATATCTAAAAAAGTTATAACAGATTGACCTAGTTATAAATAACGTCTATTTCTTTAATTTATATATTAGTATATTAATATACAATATAAAACCTACCCATTGTTTTATGTTGTATACTTAAAAGAAATACATTTTTTTCTAATCATCTATATTTTTCTAGAACTCTAAAGTACCTCATGGGTCATCTTGGACACGTATGCAGTCACAGTTCTGGTACAGGAATGACAGCGAGGAATGTAGCTATAGTATGGGCGCCCAACCTATTAAGATGTAGATCCCTGGATCAAGGTGTTGCAGCACTTCAGGGTGTTGGGATTCAAGCTGTGGTCACTGAATTTCTAATTCTTAATTCTCCTGAGATTTTCGGAACACGTTAGTTAAAAAATTTTATGTACATTTTAATAGTAAATTGTTGTTTTATTTATTTGTATTCTTTCATAGTTTAATGAGCACTCAAAACTTATCTTCATGGGCATGGGGGCTCTTTTTATGCAATATGAACAGATATTTGTCTTATTAAAATGTTATCACTTTAAAGGACTTTAATGAGAAATATCAAGATGGTTCAAATTTGTTTTGGTGCTATTACACATCCTCCTGTAGAAGTAGTACTCATGTATGTATGGTTCAAACAGTGGCCACCATTGTATGCATCTACTCACTGAATGGAATTCCAAATTTTCATTCTCAGAGGACAACTTACGTTTTCAGAAAAAGAAAAAAAAGAAGTGTTTAGTGTGTGATTAATCATATGTGATATTTCTTGAAAATTATTTATATTGTGAGCAGAACCCGAGGCTTTTTGAGTCTTCTTTGAGGCCCACCAGGTAACAGAGAGGAAGAAAAGGAGAAAACTACAATAAATGATTGCAAAGCTTTCATTATATATATATTTTTTTTTATTTATTTATATTTAATATTATATTATATATAATATTAAATATAAATGCATAAACACACTTTTTATTTCTAAAAGAAAAAAAAAACATTATAAATAATAATTTTTTGATTATTCATCATCTAAGGTGGTAATAAAAATGTGGTTTTTTTGTTAAGATCTCTATTACAGAAATTGATTTGTATTTATAAGTGATGAAATAAATGTTTCTATTTCTAAAATTTATGTTTAAAATAAAGAAACCTCTGCTGATTGCTTCAATTATTTCCATGAAAACGTAAATTCTAGGATCAGGAACATTTAGCTTGTCATTTATAAATACAAATTAATTCCTATAATAGAGATCTGGATGAAAAGCATATTTTTATAACTACTTTACATTAACTACATTTGAAAAAGCATTTATTTTAACCTTTTTTTTTAATAAAAATAAAAAGTGTATTTATCCAATTATGTTTATCATAATACATCCCAAATCATGGAAAACAAGAAATAAAAGCTTTTGCAACAATTAATTGCAGTAAACACTGTTACTTTAGTTATAAGAATATGAAATCACTTCAACTTAACTAATATGGAATTAAAGCTAATTAAACGAGAAAGTTTATAAAAGTTAATAAACCTCAACTTAGCTAATATGGTGTTATAGCTAATTAAACAAGATAGTTTATAAAAGTTAATAAACCTCAACTTAACTAATATGGAATTAAAGCTAATTAAATGAGAAAGTTAATAAACCTCAACTTAACTAATTTGGAATTAAAGCTAATTAAACGAGAAAGTTCATAAAAGTGGGGTATCTGTAGTATAGTTGAAAGATGATAAAAAAAATTGCAAATAATTTATAATTTTTTTAAAAACTGAACTTATCTTAGTTTAGCCACTAAAAAGTCCTGTTTAAATGATTTTAACAAGGAAAAATTCCATTTTCCTTTGCAGTAAATATATAGTTTACAGTGAAATAATTGTTTATTACTTATATTAAATAGTCTTTTAGTTATCACTTTCTATTCAATAAAAGATATGACTTTCTTTAAAAAAACACAAAACTTCAATATCCTACTTTCCTGCTGGAAATCGGACCATCGCTTATATAAACTTTTTTGTAGCTCTTGAGGTCTGATATCACTCGTATAAATATTACCCTCTTCTTAGAGGACACCCTGTCTATCAGTTATTATGTATGTTTAAACGTCATCTATTTTTGTAGATGATATCAGTGAGGCCAGGCCAAAGTCGGTAGCTATAAGCACACCAACTAAGCTACTTACTTTGGAGGAAGCTCAAGCCCGAGGTCAAACACCACGTATAACCCAGGGTATGTTATTTTTAAAATTATTTTTTACATAATAGAACAAGATAAATTTTATGAAATCTTCATTTTACAATGCGGTAATATTTTAGGAGAAGTCAAGGAGCAGATTTGTATTATAGAGAAAATGCCTTGTTACCACACAGTAATCGACCTACCTCGCAAACGTCCTGCTCTTAATTGGAAAACTATTTTCACTCCCAGAAGAAGTCACCAAGTGAAATCTCCCCGTAGATTTAAGAGGGTAAAGTTTTTTAGTTATCTAATTTTAATTAAATATTTATAATTAAGTTTTACAGTGCGTTAATGTAAGCATATCTTAGTTTTTTTATTTAAATGTAGTTTTAGAGTCTAAAACTAAAAAAGCTGTTTTAATCAAAATAGCCAATCTGGCTCTAGCTTTCAACCTGTCAACTTCTTCTCTGTCCTTGTTTCCGTTGTTCTTTTTTTTTTTTCATATGGTAGCAATAGGTAGTTCCTATTAATTAAAAAATGGACGACATTCTGTAAACAATGTGGAGAGAAATATCAAATTCATATTGTTAGACTTACATAATATAAATGTTTGGGTTTATTTTTATCTAGGTATGCATATCTAACAAAAACAAATATTTTGGGGAGAAATTTGTATGAAGGTTATAACCAAATAGTAATTAAACTTTGTAATATGTTTTCATAATTTTCATTAATTTGTGTTCATATATTTTCAGAAAACAGTCATAAAGTCTGCTGAGTATTTAACAGGTAGTGGAACAAATGGCTCTTCTCAACAGGTGAATAATTCAACTCACAGCAGATCTGTCTCACATGATTCTTATTTCGATATGGCTACTGCGGAGCATCCATCTACTTCTTCTCTTGTTGATACTCAGCATGAAGGTGATTCAATAAAACATTTATCTATTTTATAACATATATTAAAGGGACTGGAAAGTGATGTTGTTTAATTGTCATTATTCAGCTCATTGTGTGCATCGAAGTTTTCGTAAATAATTAAATTTAAAATTTTGTTTAGCAATTTTGGGTGAAATGGCCAGCCAGATACCAGAAGAGGTTGATATCCGACATAGTATGCTTTTTTAGTTTCGCAAGTGTAGTCACGCAACAGTTGCTACCAAAAACATTTGCGATGTTCATCCAAATGCATTAGACGTTCCTAAATGCCAAAAGTGGTTTTTCAAGTTAAAAAACTGTAATCTTGATGCTTCTGATTTGTATCAATCAGGAAGACTAACAACCTTAGACAATGACGTGTTAAGGGTGGAAGGGGAAGCAAATCCGTATCAGACAATCAAGGAATTGTCAAACATTCTTAACCAACCTTCGCCAACCATCCACCACATGCAACTTATTGCTTCAACGGTACAATACAGAAGCATATTTTGATCACCGGAGATGAAAAATAGGTCCTCTTTGATAATCCAAAACACAAAAGGCGGTGACTTTCTCCAAATGAATCTCCACGAAGAGTACTGCTAAACCAGATTTATACCCCAAAAAGGCCCTTATTTGTGTTTGGTGGAGAATTCGCGGCGTTGTTCATTTTGAAGTGCTAAAACCTGGATTAATTGTAAATGAAGACCTTTACTATGAACAAATGGATCCTGTAAATCAATCTTTTACCGAAAAGTGGCCAGCATTGTCAACCGAAAAGGTGTTATTCTGCAGCACGAATATGAAAGACCACACTGCGCAATACAAGCATTGGAAAAAAATTAATGAATTGGGGTGGGAAGTACTGCCTCATCCACCATTCTCCACCATTGGATTTCCACCATGTTCGCTTCAAAACTTTCTAAATGGCAAACGATTTGCACATTTGAATGATATCCAAAATGCCTATGTGATGCCAAATGATATGATATGATATCAAATGCCAAAATGATATCTCTTTATATTTTGCTCAATAACCAATTGATTTTTATCAATCCGACATTGAAAATTTGGACATGAGAAAGCAAAAGGTTGTTGATAATGAGGCTAATTATATCATTGATTAAAAGTAAAAACTCCTTTAAAAAATTTTTATGTGTTTTAATTTAATCTAAGAAAACGACATTACTTTCCGGTCCCTCTAACATCAGATTTCTCCACTAAATCTTGTTTGTTACTATTTTCCTGAAAAAGTTACAGTTGATATTAATTCTCTCATACCTTGCAAACTTTTATTTTATAAGTTATTATTTTTATTGTGCCCTAATTGTCATTTTATATTTTTGAAAAATATGGAAAAATAAAGTTTAAAAAAAAGAAAATTGTTTCAATTTAAAAAGTAAAGAAAATAGCAATAAAAGTTCAGTTTAATTTAATTTATATATAGTGTACAAGTTATATAAATTTAAAACAATCCATAATTGAATTTCAGCTATAGTGAAACCAAATTCATCCGTTTATTTTTATAATTTTATCTTAATTTTTCTCATTTCCTTTAGTAATTTTGTTGTTTTTTTAATTGTTTTCTTCTTTTTTTTATGTTATTTGATGTCCTTCTATGACCATGACTGATCTATCTCTCAATATATTTATTTTCCAATTATACCATTTATACTTTGTATTCTATTAATTGTTTTTATTCTTTCTAATGTTAATTGATGTATTAATTTTCAGGTTTATCATTGTCTCTGGATTTGAGTGAATTACAAATGAATTTCGACGTAGAAGAAAGTGAAATGAGAATATTCTCAGAAGATGAAACAAATCAGCTTTTTAGTTCTGGCATTAGCCTTATTGAATCTGATAATTTGGAACAAAGGTTTTCCTCTCAAGAACTTCGTTATATTGATAGCTATTCACCTGAACCAGATAGCCCCTCTGACACCTCTCCAAGGTATGATAATTATTTTCATTTTGTTATTTGATTAAAAATTCTTATATACCCCTATTATTCTACCATCATATTCCAAAAAGAGTGTTATATCAGAGGATATTCTAAAATTAGTAATTACATAAAAGTTAACCGTTTATAATTGAACCAGTATCTATTACTGACATAAGCATGTTGAAAAATTTCTAACATGCTCACCCATGGGACTTCAATTATGTTTTTACCTTGATTCTTACTATTTATTATTTTTTGATAAATTACATCAGAAAAAAGAAAAAGAAAAAATTGCATCAGCTTGTCTGATATATTGCTTTTCCACAATTAGTTGACAAATTGAGTGTGAAGTAATGCAGCATTGAATAGGACCTAATTTTTTTTTCCTCCTCCTGATGTTTCTTACAAAATATTTACAACTTTAAACATATAAGGACATGATATTATAATCTTGTAATGCATGTAAATATTTTTTAAGTGATATCAGAGGGTAGAAGAAAAAACTAAATGTCAGTTTCAACAGACGAGTTTTGTTTTATCTGTAAGAATAATGAAGATATTTCATTACCTACTAATTTTTATTTTTTCCTAATATTCCTCAAAATAATTTTTTAGTTTCGGCAATCGTGCAGAGTAAGATTTTAATAACCACCAATAATCCATATTAACTTGTTAAATGAAGAATGATATGAACCATATATTCAATTATAACATTCAGTTGTGTATGTTACAAAATGTTCCTTTTTTTAGTTATATAATTTTTTAATTCTGCTATCTTGCCTGACGTGTTCTATACAATCACTGTAAATTCCATCACAGATATTAAATTGCTAGATTTTTATAATCTTAAGTTTATTTACTAAGTTAGCCAAAAAACTAAACTCTTTTGTCATTTAACTGAATTATTGCTACATTGTATGGTCACTATAGAGTTCTGGTAATTGTTTTTTCTAGGTACCAACCACTACTTACTCCTAGTTCATATGAAAATTTGAGAACAGCAAACAATAATTGTGATGGTGCACCTTCTTCACAGAGAACATCTGCTTCATATGCTTATGAAAAATTGACTGAATCACCAGTTCTTGGTATACATATATATCTCATTCTATTGCTAATGGTTAAGGCTCCAATTTGAAGAATTTCTTGATGGTGTGGAGATGGTTGACCATAGATTCTAATTGCAAAAGAAGTTAGTCGGGGGTGCAGTAAATATATAAAATACTATATTACATATGGTAGATGTTCAGTGCAGTCAATATGTAAAATACTATATTACATAATATGGTAGATGTATAGTGGAATATAAAACTATAGTATAGTGGATATTTAAATACAAATACTATTATGTAATAACAATATTTTATAAATTGACCACACCCTCTGACTAAGTTCTTCTAAAATTGACGAAGTTTTTTTTTTTTTTTCTGTTTGACAGAAAATAGAGTTCTCAACCGAACTAATCTGATATCTTGGACAGTAGATTTAAAGTATAAAATCCAGAGGATCTTTTTTTTTCACTTTCATCTACCTATATATATAATATAAGTAACAGAAAGTATTGTGATCGTGGAAATTTTTGAATCTGAGTTTTCAACGGAAATACATGTTTTGAGGCCCCTTGAGTCTAAATAACCAAGTTCCCCAAATCGTCTGTGTGTGTATGTATGTGAACAGTATAGTTCAAAAACAAAAAAGTTGTATGAAAGTGAAATTGCATTTTAAGGTTTGTTATATACCTGGGATGTTGGAACTTTTTAGTCAAAATCAGCTAATCAGTAGTGACAATTTATATAATCAATTTTACAATTTTCTCGAAAAAGGCTCCTAACAATTTTGATTAAATTCATCGTATCAGTGTAAAATTACATGATCTTTAATATCATTTAGGTCTTTTCACCATTGATGTCACTTTACAGGTTTCAAATGCCCAATTTTCATATTATATGTCTTCCTCTAAAGTGCCTTTAATATGGTTTATTTTAAAAAGTTAATCATTTCGTATTATTCAGAGTTATGAAAAAATGCTACATATAACTTTTGAAAGAATTTGATAAGTTAATAAAGGAGAAAAAAAATATAAATGCAGAAAAACCTGCATTGCTATAGACTGTAGCGCCTAAACGAATGTATCGATTTCAATGAAACTTTGTTAAAGTAATTTTCTCGATACCCTTTAAATTTATCTATATAACATACTTCAACGAAAAGAAGCTGGAAAAAAAGTTACGGAGATTTTAAATTTAAATTCCGAATAAATCAAAAAGTATACGCTTTTTTGGGATATTGTATATGGTTTTTTAGAAGTTTGTGGAGTTTTCCAAAAAAAACAAAAAACGTCTGCCAAGTAAGGCCAGTATAGCTTCCTCACCGTTTCCGTTGTATATTGCAAGGTATACAATTTTTCGTATGAGAATAAAATCTCTGAGAGAAGCAGAATCGGAATAGCCGATTACAGTTACCCTTCAACATTCAACAACAGAGGGTCGTATTTCAATATTCCATACTTGATTATGCTTAATAAAAAAAAAAAAAAAAAAAAAAAATGCATACTGAACATGAATTTCAATACTGTTAGTTCAAAAGGTCTTATGTATAAATTTATTTATTGTTTTACAAGAGTGCATAAAAACTCAATATTTCTTTATGCTTTATTAGAATAATTTCATATTTTATTTTCATCTGTTATTTTCCATAGTAGCAGACTACTTATATCAGTTGCAGACTACAAAATATTACCTTTATTACACATAGAATTAAAGTTGAAAATTATTACATACGAACTTATGCTCTAATAATAGTATATACATTACCGAATCAAGATTTAATTTTGGAGGAGGGGCTTCAGCACGAAAGATTTATATATATATATATATATATATATATAACGATAATTAATTTGAAAAAAACCACTGTAAATTATTTCTCTTTGGTATATTATTTCCAAACAATTATACATATAAAGTAACATTAAATTCCTAGTTATAAATAAAGGTGATTCTAATTATTGGACTAAAATTTTTTTTAATCAATAGTAATATGCTAAAAAAAATAGCATTACTTCACTAACACATTCAGAAATAAAAAAAAAAAGATAAACCTTTTGCAATAGCACATCTAAAAAAAACTAGAGACCATATCTTTGCTCCTAATTGTCTGATTTTGACGAATTTTTTTTTGTTTTTTAGGAAATTCCATAAACTTCTAAAAAACCATGTACAATATTGACATAAATGTGTATACTTCTTGAGTTATTCGGAATTTAATTTTACCATCTCTCGTAACTTTTTTTGAGTTTCTTTTCGTTGAAGTATGTAGGATAGATAAATTTAGAGGGCGTAGAAAAAATGACTTTAGCGAAGTTTCATCAAAATCGGTACATTCGTTTAGGCGCTACAGTCTATAGCAACGCAGGTTTTTCGGCCGCCATTTTGAAACTAGAAGGCGAATAGTAATGTCGTTGAAGGAGGATGATCCTCGGGTGACCTCTTATTTTATATCCAAATTCGAAAAAAATCGGTCTAGTAGTTTCAGAAAAAATGCGCGGACGGAGGACTAGTAGTGCACATATAAGAGAAAGTGTTGGACACAATTCAATGAAATCGACACTACATTATTTTTTCACCAAAGTCTACCTTTTATCTAACTTTGAGCCAAATCGAACGAGCCCTTTCTGAAATATCGGCATATCTAAAAATATACGTTTGCGCTGTGCGTAAGCTGAAGTGCTGGATGGAATTTGATAAAATTCATATGGGACCATCTAGGCACCAATCAGCATCATTCCTGAAAATTTCATGAAGATTGGATGAACGGTACTAGGTGATACGCCCGTCACATCGATTTGACTACAGACAGACAGACAGACACCGAACCAAATTTGATCCTTGATGTCTGAAACGTAAAACGCGAGTGAAAATTTTCGATTCTGAAAATTTTTTTTAATCTCTCACACGAACACAATGCTTCCCTACCTTCGGTAGTGAGGAAGCAAAAAAATCGTTAAAATCTGACAATTAGGAGGAAAGATATGGTCTCTAATTTTTTTCCCTGAAGAGGCGAAAATTTGGTTAAATTTCAAATATATTTTTTAAATTGTTGAGACTAAAAAAACCTTTTTTCTACAGATATTTAATAAAGTATCTTTCCTAAGAACATCTTTCATAAGAAATAAGTACCTAAATTTGTACCTTTATTCTCAGTTGTCTGCATTGATAACTTTTTCAACTAAAAATATCACTAAAATGACATCACTCAAAAATGTTGAAATTGGAGTTGGTCATTCTATGGTTTATAAAAGCGAAGTAAGTTGTGTAGTTTATAAAAGCAGATGGAGTGACTAGATTTTTATTGCCTGTCGTTGATACATTAAATAGACATTTTGTAATTTTAATGGTCTTAATGATATGTTATCTGTAAGCTTTAAGCTTTAGCTCTGTTTAAAATGCACTTCAAAAAATTGTATAATAGCCCAGTATTGCCAGAAAATAATTTCTATTCAAAGTAGATTGGTAAGTGAAAGTTGTGTTGCGCGCACCAGATTTTTTATATTATTGTTAAAAGAGGGGACTGTATTATAGTTTACTTTGTTAATTTAGATAGGTAGTTTTCTATGTGTGAACATGTTATTTAATAATACATTTTTTTTTTTTTTTTTTTATAATATTAAACTAACTTCTAGGAGAAAATTTTGAAAACTATGACAATGAATCTTGTGAAGAAGTGAAACAGGAAAATGATCTTTACGAAGGCTGTTATGAAGAAATGGAACTAGGCATTGAAGGATATGAACCAGTATCACCCGTACCAGCTTATGAAAATCAGAAGAGCGTTAATCAAACAGATAATAGTATTTATGAGGATGTACAGGTATATAACCATTATAATAGGTCTATATTCTTATAACTTCCATATTTTCTTCATTCTTTAACACGTCCTATCACAGTTTAAATTTTCTGCACAATGTCCCCATCTCCAGAACCATTTTATTCTTGTTAATACATTAGAAAAGATGATTTTAATTTGTTATATAATTGAGTGTTGATATAGACTACATGTGGGGAACATGTAACCCCTGTTAGTTTATGTGTGTTCTTCAATAATCTAGCTCTAGCATTAATTTATATTTAAGTATTTAGATTACAAAAATTTGAAAATTGATAGAATTAAGTTTAATATGGGTGTGTGTATTTACTAATAAATAAAAATAGCAATATTAAATATAATAAATATTGTGGCCTCCATTATCACTATCTAACCTTACTGGCGGCCTCCAATAGTAAAAAGGTTCCCCATCTATGAAATAGACTATAGTAGAAATAAAGATACATTTGACATGATGATATTAATATTCTAGTTAATATATATACTATACAATAGTACATTTTAATTTGTTACTATTTTATTTTTATAAGTCTTAAAAATATGGTAGAACTATAATAATAATTAGCTTAAAGAAAAGTTAAATTCAATTATGACAGACAATAAATTATCTGAAATTTGAAGCTCATTATTTATCAATACTATATACTACAAACTAAAATGACGAGAGGTTATTTGGCTCATGTATTTTTTATCTGCCAATTTTATTTCTAGAAATTAAAATTAATTTATATTTTTGGTTGTAATAATAAATTACTTTAGTCACGTATATTCTGTTATTAATTATAAATATTTCACCAACTTATTTGTATTTTTTTTTAGTTAACAACTTCTGAAATATACCAGCAAGTTTCATACCTGAGAAACTCTGTTGAGGAACTAAATAGATTTGTTTTAGATTCTAACCAAGACAAGGATTCTTCACTGAATACAGGTAATTAAATATAAGCCTTTTGTTTTTTATTAGGTCATGACTTGGTTGTAATAACAAAGAATACGTTTTCATTTTTCTACTCCAAAAAATCAAAAGTGATTTGATCTCTTGATTGTTTTTTATGTCACGGGTGAATAAACAAACAAGAATAAAAGAAGTAGTGATTATAATATAAGGAATAATAATTACCTGTCTTTGATTTGTGGACTGTCAATGGTAAAAACATTATACATTAATAAATATACTGTCATTCTAAAATAGATTTTTCTATTGTAAGTAATACATAATATTTATGTACGAAGTATGCATACAAATCATCATAAGTCACTGGACGCCGCTAATAAGAATTTTTGACAGAAGTAAACATTATAATTATAAAGGCTTATAATTATAATTATTTTAATCACTTTATTGGACATATAAAAAAAGTTTGCCGAATTTAAAAATACAATAAAGTTCTTTCAGGACTGCACTTTCAAGCTCAAAAATGTACATTTCTTTTTAGATATATCTTAATTTCTACCAAGAGCCTCCTGGGTGCCACGTTGTATACTTACATGTTCTTTTGGTTTTTAAAAATTAAAATTTTACTATTTGATATATTCTATGACAAACTAAAAAGCTATTGAAAAGGTGAACAAAGGAGAATAAAACAGAGATCCTTTGGACACATTGGACTAAAATAGAAAGAACTTCTTATTTTTTTTACCAATCGTGTGTTTTGGTTGACTTTCTTGGTAATAATATATTCTTTATACAAATAAAAATGTTCTCTTAATATTATTTATTCTTCAGAGATACTAGTTATTTAAATTGCTGAAATTAAAACGAGAAAATTAAAATTGAATAATTAATGAAAGAAACCTCTCAAACTTATCGACGCTCATTATAAACCAAGTGTTTATAAGTGCTTTCCAAGTTTCCCACATAATGGCTACCTAACCATCTAACTGGCTATCTAACCATTTTCCTCTCCCAGATTTGATACATTAACAAGCGTATCATGATTAGTGTTGTTAGGTTGATTAACTATTCATAACATAAATTACAAGAGGTATTAATGCTTTGATTTTATAAATAAGTCTACAACGATAATTTTATAATTGATTTAATATTTATATATTTTGCAGATAAAGAAGCCGATGAAAAGTCTGAGAAAAGTAGTAAGAATGATGATGAAACAGAAATTCCAGTGCATCATAAAATAATTGATTCCCTTGAAAATGTTGGTGGAACTGTGGCAACAGAGGTGTCAATAGAGCATTCTCCCAGTTCAGAACCTATAAAGACAGAAATTAAAACTAATCAAGTAAAAGTAGTTGAATGTAGTTTGTCTGATGAATGTGTACCTGATTGGGAGGATAACAATGAATTATTAGATTCAGATAGTGCTACAAATTATGAAAATGTTGATTTAATGATTAAAGACAATTTATATAGGGATAAAAGTGAGGGAAATTCAAATGACAATAATCCTGATATGAATGAAAGTAATTCTAAAACCTCAGCACAATTCCTACAAGATAATTGTGATACTAAATTAAGTATGTCTATTAGAGGCATAATAGATGATAGTGAATCCTTAAAAAAGGAAATTACTACGCCAAAAGTAAGTTGTTGTGTGGTATCTGAAGTTCTGAAACAAGATTGGATTGATAGAACGAAAGATACTAAATTCACAACTCCAGAAGAATTTCAAGATTCTGATAAAAAGACTGAAAAATCGCAAAAAATGTTTGAAAAAGATGGGTGCAAATGGGAACTAAACTCTGGAATTAAAACTGAAGAATCTGATGTTGAAAGGAGAGAACGAATAGAAAGGTATAAAGAAGAAAGGAGAACATTTTTTAGGAAAAAATATGGAGCTGATAGTGTTAACAATAATGATGAAGCTGATGAAGAACTAATTAGAAGGATAAAACAGCGGACCCAGCGAGGAGGAAGTGGGGAAAAGTGGTGCACTGATCTTAGATCCCCCACAAAAACTACTGTTAATATTTCTTATTCACCTGCTAGAGTATCAGCAAACAAACAACTTTCACTGCCAAGCTCTCGTAAGTTTATTCAATTTCTCAATGTTAATGTTACTTCTCATTGTTTAAGTTTTAATATTTAATAAAAGTCTCTTAAATGAACATGAAAATAATACATTTATTATTATTTCGTACTCCATATTTTTTAAATATTTATTAGCAGAGTTGCGCTAATTAACTTTTGATTATGGTCACATCTGATTTATTCATTTTCGGCAATTAACAAATAATTTGTTCTTTGAAGCTAAAGGGTAATATTTGTCAGATAGTAATTTCAAGTTGTTTTCCACTCTCAAATATGGAACAAGCCATTAGTATTTTATTGTTTCTACTGCCAATTATTTATTTTTTTAAAATTCTTGGCAAACTTTATTTCTCGTCATTTTCAGTTGCTGGTAGAGAAATCTATCGTTGCAAATAAAAATGTTCTGGCTAGTGCTGATAATAATAGGATAGCGGCATTTTGTTCAGGCTGTTCAACAGCATCGGAGATCCTAACCTTAGCAAGAAAAATCTGCTTGAATTTTTGGCATTAGGGAAAATAGAAGAACCATGCTTAAAATATAGCCAGGTGTCGAGGCTATAATGTTGCTCAGAATTCTGAAAATTTATTTGATTACAATGTAATTAAATTAACCTTTGCAATCCATAGTATGGAGACCTCTGTAAAAACCATTATAATGTTAAATTTAATATTATAAATTCCTTGAATGTAGTAACTTATTATTGCTAATTAAAAACGAAATGATACTAATATGAGAAAAATCAATGTATATGATTTAAATTATCATAGTGTGCAAGATTGGTGTAGACAATCATTTAATCTGTTATATCAACTATAAATTGGCCTTTATAGTTGATTGGACACATCCAGCCTCTATAAAGTTGGTACCCTCAATTGAGAGAAAACCTAGTGATTGGGCATAATCCTGGCCAAATCACTTCTCTGCACAACCATAAGCTGAAAAATAATGTATCCTTAAAAAGAAAGTGATTGACAACATAAAAAACAAAGATCCTTTAAACTCTGTGCTTGTTTTATTTTTTCTATATGTTATTAGAGTAGTTTTGAAAGGTCTAGCACATGCAAAACTATTGAACAATATACTCTCTTTTGGGTTAATGAATATTATATCTTTTTTTTTTCTTTGTTAACAGCAGAAAAAAATGAGAAAAGTGATTCTTCGTAGTCCTCTTCTGCCTGTGTCAAGTTTTAATTTATTTTATTACATGATATTTCTACTCAATTTTTCATTTCTCTCTTACAACTGCTAGAAACATTGAGATATGCTCATTATTATTAGACCAAACAGACTATAGCTTACAATATTTATTTATTTACTATATCAGTAAGCATCTTTATATTATAACTTGTAGACTATATATATATATGTATAAGAATCCTATTTGTATATAAAACTTTACCTAAAACCATAACTTGCTTATTGGAGAATGAAAAATGGATTTGTGGGTCCTTAATATATGAATTGTTTTTTTAAGATAAGTAAAGGACAAGTGATTGGCTAGCTTTTATTAGCCTTACTGAAATCATGCTTTAATATAATAAAATATAAAGTAAAGTGTTTAAATAGTCATTAGATTAACAATAAAAATTTAAGAATTTCTTTTTTACACAACTGTGTATATATTACGCTCTGTGTATGTTTCTTGTTATATAGATACACATCTGATTAATCCATGTTCCCACAAAGGCCAAATACTAAAAATAGGTTTTTAAATTTATTATTTAATCTATATTAGAATTTAAACTCATGAATATTGTAATGATTAACGTTCATTACAGCTTAACATGCGTAAGAACTTCTGCCACTGTAAAATATAATTGTTTTGTGATTGTTATTAATAAAGTTGTTAATGGAAATGTTAAATCTTAGTTACACAAGTTATTAAATTGTTAAAGCTCAATTTAATTTTAATAGTTTGTTAATAATTATTAAAAACTTTAAATTTTTTTTAAAAAGGATTTATATGTGTTCAATAAAAAACCAGTATTCATTCCTGTTTTTCTTTAATATTTTTGACTATAATTATTTATATTTATTTAAAAATTATTAGCTATTAACTACTTTCTTGTAAAGATTAATACTGTAAATAACACCAAAATATATCTAACATTAATCTTTACTTATGATATGATAGGATTAAAATGACTCTGCTGTAATATGTTATTTATTTATGTTTTGGAAAGCAATTTATTATGTATATGTTACATATATTTTTTAAGCAACTGTTAACAAAAATATATTGCCACTTGTATATTATTATGTATTCCCTTAACAGTTAAAATAAATATAACCATTGAATCCAGAAAATATTGTGATCTTTGAAGTACAAATCTGCTTACCTGAATAATTATTTTATTTCATATACCCCGTCATTCTTCTGATCACCTCTGGAGCAGAGGTTCAAAGAAATATAATGAGTGGTATACATACAATAGTGAGCGTAGGCAGTCTGATGGTCCATTTGAAGGTAGGTCATTTGAACTGAGTCTGTGGACCACTGAATAAATCGTCACATAAATTCTAATACTGCCTAACTTAATTTTTATAATTCATTGCTAATTTCAACAATATATTTTTGATAAAATTATTTTATTAACAATTTTTAAAATCATGTGCTGAGCTGATGTGATAATTCGAAACCTCCAGCGGCATCCTTTGGATCAAATGAACTTAAATTCAGGATGAGCAGGTATTTTCATGGCAGAGCAATACCATAAAAGTTTGGCAATATTAGGGCTTGTAGAAGATTTTTTCTAAAGTTTTCCGCACCTTACCAACTCTTCTAAATAAATTTAGGAAGTTGAAAGCTCATGGGAAGATTTGGTCTCCTTTGGATACACCTCTATAGCATGTTCAATGGAATTAAATTCGGGACTTTATACATACCTCATTAAGTTAATGACTAACCACGTTAGCAAAATGTGGACAAGTGTTGTCATTGTTCAGAAATGAAATCATTGCTGATATAAGGGGTGAATGACACCATTCCTCTACGATATCAGATATATACCTTTGTGCAGTAGGGTTCCCTTAGTCTGGCTCTGAAATGATACTATCCCAAAGTAATTGTGATCCACCTACTGATAGCAACCATTTGAAAGTACTGAATTGTAAAGAGAGCTGTCCTGGTCTTATCCACACTGTTGTGAATAATGAAAATTTAAACATGCCTGAAAGCATTACTCGGGTACAGTCATTCTTGGTCCAAGCTGTATGTTCATGAGCGCAAATCTAAGAGCAGCTGGGGTGATTTGAACTCTGGCTTCTGATTGAAGAACTTCAGCAAGTCGCATCTCTACCCACATTGACATTTGAAGCCCCTGTCATTTCCACAGCTGTTAAGAAATGATTTTGAAGTATTAGTATCAATAAATTGGTCATCCTTGGGAACTGTCGCCCTCATTAAGTTATAACTCTTTCTGTATTTCTGGATTGCCCTCTGAATGGTAGTTTCTAGTAATAGGGTGTATCAAAAAATTAAAAAAATGGCCGTTTTATCAAATTCAAGATTTCAAAGGACTGCAAATATTGTCATCCTATTTAATACTACCAATACTTAATAATCTCTTTAGAGCGTTCTCTAAACTTGTTTAATCCCATTCGACTTCTTCAAAAAACGCCTCAGTTAAGTTATTTGTTTCAAAGAAGAAACATGACAGTGTCCTCCGAAATTCTCGTAATTTACGGCATTACTGGATAAAAAATTTCACTGCCGCTTAAGCAACTCCTGAAATTATTAAATCTGATGGGGAAGGTGTCATTTACCAGCGCACTGCGCGGTGTTGGTTTGAAAAATTTAGCAGTGGAGATACGCCGTAGGAAAGGAAGAAGGGCTGGTGACCATTAATGGATATTGATGAGGTTCTGCGGGAAGCTGTTGAGTCAAACCCGTCCAGGAGTACTCGCGAACATGCCAGGGAGTGTGTTGTGTTGAAAGATTCTGTTAGTCGCCATCTACTCTCCATGTAGAAGATGAAAAAGAGCAGTAGATTGATCCCTCACAAACTTACTCCTCATCAATCAGCTGACAGGTTAGAAATTTGTGAATATTGAAAACCCTTCTGATAAGAGACTCCTGCCTCTTCCACCATATAGTCTAGACCTTGCACCATCGGATAACTTTTTAATTAGATCGATGGCCCATTTTCTTCCAAGAAAAACATTTGATAATTTTGCGGAAGTTGAATTGCGGTCTTAATGTTCTTTGACAGCCATCCCAAAGAATGGTATCAGCGTGTGATCGAGCAATTGGCTAGCAGACGTTTAATGATTGTAGAGAACAACGTACTACAGTTTGAGTATTGATTGTATTTCATAATAAAAAATAATAGTACAAATATTTGGTTGAAAACCAGTTTTTTTTATACACCCTACTAATTATAATATCCTGGTCACATAAAAGTAAGTACCTAACTCATTTTCATCAAACACTTCGTTAGATGCTGTTAGAATTTACATGACACAATATTAATCTAACTGCAGCTGAAACAGGATTCTAAGCCATAAAGTACTGCTTATTCCTGTCCCAGTTAGTGTGCACAAGGACATTAAAGAGTAATTTAAAAAAAAAAACAGAAAGGTTTGGCACCATTATTGATGTCCTGAGTCTTCAAAATGCGGAAGTGTCAACCGTTCTGTAGTTTTTGTCATTTAAGTAGTTTTCTGTTTTGTTTCAAAGCAATGAACATTGTCTATTATTATTTGATCAAAAGCTGGTTTAACATGAGACTCTTTAGTAGATTCGACTTAGTTGCCCTGTTAACATTTAACTACTTGAACCAAGGATGTAGTAGAATATGGATTTTTTTTTTCACATCTAGGTAAATAGTAAAATAAACTTATTTTTCCGAATAAATTATTATGAATAATCTTCGTGCATGGTTGAAATGAAATTTTTGGCAAATTTTATTATTAAATTAAAAATAAAGAGGTAACATTAACAATTTAATACACGTTAATATAATTTACTATCATAGGATCGAATCTCGGCACTACTTCCCAATACGGCAGGTCCCCGCGGGAAGTTAGACCATATATATATATATATATATATATATATATATATATATATATATATATATATAAAATAAAAGTTATATATATATATATATATAATAAGTTTTCCTACTGTAAAAAATGGATTTCAATTTTCTGTTTGTTTTTCTTTCATAGAAACCCCTTCCCTGGAATGTCCATCGTTTAGTCAGAATGGCTTACATTATATAATTTTGTTTTTTAAGTCGCCGTTACTCCTTCTAACGTCAGATAGAAGGAGTAACTTTCCTTATTTGATAACATTCATGAATGCTAGTTGAAAATTCATATGGTTTGTACATAATGCATCATCTGTCAATTAATGTTTGATGCAAAAATAACACTTTATTGCACGATGTTTATGATTGTCACTGAGATTATAAGATCTCTTTCACCTTTAGGTTGAAAAATAATCACATCCCCGCGAAATTGAAGGAAAAAAGTTATAAAGGAAAAGAAACTTTATTTGCGAATAACTAAAAAATTATTCATTTTTATTTATTGTACCCAATAATTAGAAAGATTACTAAATTACCTACAAAAAAAAAAAAAAATTGGTTAACGCAAGGCAACAAAATATTACATAAAAATTTACCCATGTGACTATTGGGTGACAAAACAATTATTGCTTTTCAAGCAGTGGAGATAGTTTTTATATTTACGGCGTTGCTTAATTGAGCAGTTTTTAAACTTACCAATACTCTGAAATTAAAAATTGAATTTACTAAAATTTTCACTAGTCTAATGCCTGGACTGTCGATGTCTATTGCCTCTACTAACTGCGGCCCAATACGTCGCCGCTTCGAATGTATTAACGTTATTCGCCCCACTGATTAAAAGTCCCTCCTCTACTGAAAATAATTTATAGCATTACAAATAAAGCCAATAAGCAGCGTGGCAAGAAGCTAATTCTTCACGGGCTGCTAAAATCTCCAACTTTCACTAATCTAATTCACTGTTTAGATCATCACAATTCGTGTGGGCCAACTAGTGAGTTTTTACATGTAAATTTGATTTTGGGATTAAATTACATACAGATAGAAGATGGGAGAGTAGCGTAAAGTTCATTTATTTAATAGGAAACCAGTAAAGAAATCATTACTTGCTTACTTGTCTTTTGAATATTTCGAAACACCGATGATAGTTTACTTCAGTAAAAAGAACATATGGCATAATAAATGATTTTTTTTAGAGTAATCGTTTCTTAAATATATAGACAATAGAGACATACTTTTATTACATACAAATATTAACTTAGATGAAAATACTGTTTAAGAACTTGGAAAAATATACCTGTCTGGAAATGCAGAGTATAAGTAACAGTAACCGAGAGGATTCGGAAACAGAAAAGAAAGAAAGTACAAAAGATAACGGAAATCTACAAACAGTACTTTTTATATTGAAATTAAAAGTTACTCGTTTAACAAGGCAACTGGTAAATAATGCGTTTAAATAAACTAAATTATATGTTTAGTCATTTTGATAGGTTTATGTGACTTGATAGGTACGTAAAAACCATTTGATACTAATTGCTTAACTAACAGTAATGGTATTCGTTACCTATACGCAAACTTGAAAAAAACTCAACTCATTTTACAAAACTCTGGTGCAGTGCGACAAACAAATTTCATTTATCGGAAACAACATACGTGACTTTTCACGATTTTGAAACAAAAAGGAAATTTAATTTTACTAAATTTTTAAAAAATAAAAATCAATCTGTGTATATATATATAAAATACTACACAGATTGATTTTTCTATTTATATATATACGTATGTCTTTTTTTTCTGAAATAGTCGTCTTTGACCTATAGATTTAGAACCAATCTTAATTCAAAACTGATGAAAATGAAAATGAGTTTCGTTTCTCAAATAGGCGATTCACTTTCGCTTTCTTGCAATCGAAGAGACTGGCGCTTTATATTCGCGCTAGAAGTCAAAAAAGTTTTTATGAGGTGGTATAACCCTTCCCTGGCTTAGGAGCGATGGATTTTAATAAACGAGGTATCAAAAGAAACGGAATTTCATGTAAACATGAAGAATATCTCTTATGATTCTTAAATTCCCATTACAACATCAATACAATTCATTGAAATATAGAGATATCGTTTCGGGGAGACGTTGACAATTGTCGAATCGAGATAGAACGAATTGTATTTTAAAGATATCGATCAGTCTTATAGAATTTTGACCTTATCTGATAAGGTGAAGGAATATTTTCCAGTGGGACAAGTTTAGTTATAGTAATATTTTTCGGTGTACTTGTTAAGTAAATTGTTACTTCAATATAGTCATTAGAAATTATGTGGCTTTACCAATATAAATTCCAATACCGCTTCATTGTGTTTAATGAATAAAATTTCTTAATTACAAATATATATAATATGTATGTGTATATATAGTATTATATTATTTAGGCGTTCCAACCAGTGTCGATCCTAGACATTCTGTACCCTCGGGCAATTACTTCATCTCCTCCTTCCCCAAAAAATTTAAATTTATTTCTTACGTTGTTTATTAATAGGCTGAAATTAATTATTTTAATATGTTCTGCATTTTTTTTTTAATTTCTAACAAGTTGCGAGCACCCCGGACAATTGCCCGACCCTGGTTCCAACGAGTGTTTCTTCTTTTCGCGTCAGAAATGAGCTTCTGAGGTTGCGCTCAAGCCAATCTCCATTCTGAAGCCACCTCCTCTTTCACCTTTTTCGGGTTTGTCCTTCTCTCTGTCTTCAAATCAAGAATTCAGAACCATCGCTCGGTAGACATTTGTCTAATATGACCGTACCATATCAGTCTTCGCCGTCCAATTCTCTGGAACGGGCATAGAAGTCTGCATCCTGTTCCAAACAACCATTCCTAATAATATCCATCCTTGTCACTCGTTGACTTCTGCTCCAAAAAGTCTATTTCCACACCTTGTAGTACCTTTGAATAGAGCACAGATGACATGGTTCAGGTTTTAACTGCATACGTTATGATGGGTTCTACGATGATATAATAAGAGGGAAGAGTAGATATCCAATGTGAAGGTTCTCGCAAAGGCATACTAGTATCTACTGCATATTATTTCTAATCTTTGACTCCTTTTCTGCCAATCAGGATTGATAGATTTTCGCGAAAGAGGTATCAAGAAAAAGACATTTTCACGGAGAATAAGTGATTCGTAATTTCACTACTGAAATTATTACTAGACCTTAACTGAGTTGTTGGAAATTTCAACAATGCGATGAAGACAAGTCGGCAGATAAAGATGAGGCGATTTTAAAGATTTTGAGCAGGCATCAAGACCACGTAAATTCTTTTAAGCATTAAAAACAACTGTTTTTGTAATCATTCATGGCAAAGGATAGCCACTGTAAATACTCTTCTGGAGCCACTGCTGCCTTAGCATAGTTTAAGTTTTATATTCTTTCCCATTACGCTAACCTAATTACATAAGTTAACTGTTTTGTAAAACAGTGCATGATTAAATTTATGGTAGTTTACTAGTTAACTATTAACTATGTTGATTTTCTATTTATGGATTTTACCAGAAATTTAGTGTATTGTTCTATAGAGGGGTTTCCAGAAAGGGGTTTTATGGCGCAAATGGCGCCATCCAAATTAATGAGGGGGCACTTTTTGAGGAGAGCACACCCAGTGTTTTGTATTTTCAAAATGAAAAGTTTCACATCAAAAGACAAGTGGAATCACGGAACAGACCACAGGATGTGTAATCGTATATAATCTATGAATATTCAAATTCTACTTTCCTTTGCACTGATTTTAAGAAGAGAGATATTTATAAAATATCTTGGAAGAGGTGGGGGAAGGTTTACCACCATGGGCCTTCCGGGAGGATGGGCACCCCTGGCTCCTGTACCAAATCAGAAACAAAATGTGTTCTAATGGTTTTGTTATAAACGGCTATAACAACCTAATGATCTAGCCACAAGAGGCTGTTTATCATTTCAAATATACTTCAGAGAAAGACATTTTGAAAATTCTATATTTAGGCTAAGCAGACTAAATCAATAAGACCTACTTAATATTAAAAACCGTTTAATTGTATATTCGCTTGAGGAGTTTAAAAAGTGTTACGAGCCGTTTTCAAGAAAATTGTACAAATGTGTGAAATAAAGTGCCACTTCTGGTAAGCCGATCTTGTAGGAGAGCTGCTGTTGTATCCAAGACATATATGAAGGTATAGACCTTAGTGTAAGCATTGACTGCATAATTTCAGTTTCCTACGACTTATCGTGTTTAAACTAGGCTCTACACACACCCGAGCATGAACACACTGATCAGTTTACAAGAGGGTTAACTGAAACAAGGAAATCCCAAAACGCGTATTTCCATTAAAAACTGGGATTCGAAAATATTCTAACATAGGTGTAAGTGAAAGTAAAGATAAAGATAATAATATTCTTGACATAACAATTTCTTTTAAAAAGATAAAATTTCTAAGAAAATTAAAAATGGATGTGATCGGGACCAATTATTATCACATATAAATATAAAATAAATAAACACCATTATTACTGGAATTGGTGAGATTTAGGAAGGATTAAAAAATTGATCCTAAATTTCGGGACCTGCAAGTCCATTTGCAAGGGACTTGCAAGAAGCATCAGAACCCTTCAAACTGGTTAGGGGCAAGTTGATGGAATTCTCGCTGATGGCAGTTCAACTTAGCACAGGAGGTGGTAATAAAGATGATGATTACTTGAAAATGGAGGTATACATGTTGGAATTAATGATAAAACCCATGGATCTGCAGACGATATAACTGATCTTGGAAGCAAGCAACATTGAGAGACACAGGAATCCACCAGGAAGTCTTACACAACAATGAATGCCTGGATAGTATGCAATAGATCACTTAAAAGTCCTAAAACCAAATGGATGGATTAATTCAACAAAGGTGATGCATGGAGAATATTGGTTAAGGCAGCAATAAATCTATAATGCCTGTAAAGCCAACAGAAAAAACAACAACTATATATAGCAAATATATGCCTATATGATTGTATTTCATTAGGATAATGTGATTTACTCATTTTATAATGAATTCATATTACCTTTTTTCTATTCTAGGAAGAAGTAACAATGGTCAACAAATATTTGAACCACGAATTGGAAGCCAAGTCTGAAATATTGGTTGCTGCTAATGTTAAAATATCAACCTTAAAAAATCAACTGCAACAAAAAGATTACGTTGTAAAAGAATTAGAGGTCAAATACAAACATCTTAAAGAAACTGTTGGTAATCGTGATCCAGATGAATTAAAAGTATTGGTTTTAAAGCTCCAAAAATATGAAGAGTTAATCAGCACAAGCCACGAAAAAAATTCCATTCAATATGACTCTGATGCATCAAGCTCTGAAATCAAACGTTTGAATGAATTAGTAAATACTTTGCAAGTTCTCAATTCTTACAACAAACAGTCTCTTCAAAAGGAACTGGAGCACAGACAATTAATGGAAAGTGAAATAAATAAACTACAGGGAGTTATAGAGACATTATCAGCTACAAATAGAAAATTGCTATATGAAAAAGATTGGAACAAAGCTAGAAGAAAATCACTTATTTACAAACAAGAAGAGCTTCTGAGGAAAAATGCAAGCCTTCAAGAATACTCAGACAGTTTGAGAGAAAAATATGAAGCATTACTCTTACAAAAAAAAAGAAAAAAGCGAAAAAAAAGTAATGAGCTAGAAACTCAGAAAATTAAAACCGAAGAGCCAAATCAACAAAATATAACTCCGACAACTGAAATAAAGAGAAATTGTAGATCAGAAGAAAAACAGGAAATGTCTGATATTGATACAGGAATATACAGAATAAAAGAAATACTGCTTAAAAATTACAACGAAGAAAAGGAAAAAGCGTCAAAACTAAAAGAAAAATTAGAATGTATGACAATGGAAATTTCAATTTTACAAGAGGAGAAAGATAACTTTGAAACTAGTTTAAGAACAAGTGAGGAAAATTATACCAGGCTTAAAGCTTGTTTTGACAAATTAGCTGTAACTCACAAGAATTTAATAGATTTTAAAAATGAAGAACAAATAAAAATTAACGAACGGATTATAAAACTGAATGAACGTTTAGATTCCCTTGGAAAAATACTAGTAGAAAGGTGAACATACTTTTAAAAAGTATCAGAATTAAAATAATAAGTTGAAATTTACTGACTTCATCCTGCAATTGTTTAGCAACAATTTCGCTTAGTAGCCGTCATCGACTTCAAATATTTTTATGTGAACACAACTAACTAGGCATAAGTTGCTTTGTTGCCACTTATTCATTTTATATAAGCTTTTGTCAAAAAGCTTATTCATTTTTATTCACTAACTTCAAATTGTTTAAAGGGTAGGGTAGGTATACATTGATGAAAGATTGATCTGTGACCCAAATACAATTTCTTAAATGGTACTCTTTTTTATCAACATTTTAACTATATGCCAACATGATATGTTCAAGATGAAAATTATGAAACCATGGAATTATATAAAAAATAGTTTATGAAATATTTGTGAGTCTTGAGGATTGAAGGTATTCTCAATTTAATGTACTACTTAGCATAATCATCTTTTAGGGCATAAGACTTCGGATTTAAATTCACTGACCCAACTAATCGCAAAAAATTAAAGAATGCCAGGCTATCTGATTAATTATTTACCTCTTTCTACCATTTGACACCCTATTGAATTTTGATAACAGCAGATTATAGTATAATTGTATGTACTAGATTGTAGGATAATCATTATACTGCGCCTTCATTTGATTACTAAAATAAAGTAATGTTGAACCTAATATGAGACAGGAAAACATAAGTGTTAGATATGACAGAATGATCCATATAAGTATCAAATAGTAAATATTAACTATAGAGTTACAGTCATTTGTTAAGGTTTGAATGGACTTTTAATTTCTAATCTATACTTTAATTTTACGTTTTCCTCTCAGATAACTTAGCCTGATCTCTCCTTCAAAGAATTACTAGAATTAAAATCTTATTTTATTCTTAGTTATCATTAAAATCTGGGTAGGTAAACAACAAAGTACTTTAAGGCAGATATCTAAAGTAATATAAGTATTGATAAAATCTAGCTTAACTAAATAATCCTTAACCTCATCTACAAAATGGAAAGACTGGAGGTAAGAAAATATGAAGGACAAGAGTTAAAACTATTGCGGGGCATTGATAAAAATGACTATGGTTATGGTTCATTACTAGTCTACTTCTAGCATCCTTGATGTCTGAACTATATCAATATCTTAGAGAGTGTTTAATCAATTAATTATTAGTGCGGGTAATTGAAAGAATGTAAAACAAATAAAAATTAAAAAACTCGAGAGAAGGATGAGAAACCACCTTTAAAATAATCTTTACCTCCAGGCCTCTGGCTCCACCCACTAAGATCCCCTTAAGTGCTATATCTATGCCAACTGAGTTTAATTGTGGTCTAACAAACAAAACTAGCAACATAAATGTCTTTTAATACTATCATAGTATTAATTTTGGAGGTCATCTATGAGTTTACACAGATTTCAAGGATCAATAATTTTTTTAATCCACAAAAATGAAACTATCTTATTTATAATGGCACAGTTGAACCATATTTCAGTCAATAAATGACAAAAAAGAGCATGGAGATGAAAGAAACATTTGACTACTCATATTTAAAAAACGTTGTGCGTCATAATGAAAAGTTTTTTCTTTTCTAAATTATAAAATCAATAAAATTTCATTTCATAATGTTAAATTAATGCTTTAGTATTTGTATACTTTTTACAATTTATCTTCATTGCGTTAAAAGTTATAGCTATTATAAATATTCTGATAAATTTTGTAATTGTGAAGAATTGTACTTAGGATATTTTTTTTTCATAGTAGTTCTCTGTACAAGCTAGGATGTTGATTTTTTATCCATGAAGGGTGTATAGTTTATAGACATATACCATAACCAACTATTGTCTTGAAACGGCTGGTTAACTTTTATATATTATACTTACCTATGAAAGGTATATACTGTGTATAAATTATATACCCTTCATGGTTAAAAATTTAACAACCTAGGTTGTGCAGGGAACTATGAATAACGAAAATAACTAAAGTACAGTTCTTCACAAATTTTAGTATAATATTTATAACTGCCATATTTGTTAATCACTCAAAGATAAAATAGAACAAATAAATATAATTTTGAAAAACATAAAATTTCCTAAACTCACTTCCAGTAAATTTTTCTGTAATAAGTGAAAAACGTTAAATATAACAGAAAAAAGGAACTTTCCAGCACCCATGAAGCAATCGGAGTATGGGAGAAGATACTTATTATGTTTTCCTCTTAATTACACCCAACAAATTCCAAAAGTATAATACTCTCTTCCTACCCATGTAAAGTATACTTTGCCTTACATATTATTTTATCTTGGCCCTACATTTTTTCATTATTTCAGAGAATAGTTGTTACTTTACCAATTATAAATCAGGATAGATCAGATAAAAGCACTCCTGATCTCAAATACATGGTGACAATGTACAATCCCAGAAAAATCATGGTTTAATTTCTTAAAAATCGGTTCAGTCAGATAAAAAATAGCAATTCATCAAACCAATGATAAATTAATATAATGAAGAGAAGAATAGTTGGGGTGTTCAGTCAAAAAGGAAGGCAAAAATAAACTATAATATTTATTTTTTACATATGCCAACGTTTCGACCTGAAGTTCAGGCCTTCATCAGGGCTAAGAAAATAACCAGATAACAAGGTATGAGAAACATAAGTAATGATGGTAAAAAAGATAATAAAAAATAAAAACAAAAAAAATAAAAAAATTATTAGGTAAATATAAAGTAAAATGAAATTGTTAGAATAATGACTAAGAACTAAGAGATAAATAATAAAAACTGTTACAAAGTGTGGAATGATGAAGTAGGCATAATCAAAAAGGAGTGACAAAAGTGTTACAATGGGAATCTTAGAATAAAATATAAAACATAAAAAAGAAATATAAAGTTATACAAGAAATGAAAATAAATAGTAAAATTAAAACATTGAGAATGGAGTAGTTAGATAGAAAATTGAGATATTGTAAAGTCTATCCAGATGTACAGACAATGTATAATATAATAAAGAGTTAAAAACAGAGAAAAGGAATGAAAGGAAGGAGGGAAGAAATTGAGGAAGCTGAAATAAGAAAGAAATAAAAGAAGTAATACCTGTCTCCTTAAGTGTCGAAGGGAGAATAAAAGTCGTTACAAGGGAGGGGGAGAGAGAAGAAATGTGTAGGTGGCGTCAGCTCTAACGGTTATCCGACGAAGTTTGAACTAAAGTCTAATTCTAATTTCAAAAGTCTAAAGTCTAACTAATTTCATTTTACTTTATATTTATCTATTTTATTTTTCTAATAATTTTTTATTTTATTTTTTTTTTCTTATTATCTTTTTTAACATCATTACTTATGTTTCTCATACCTTGTTATCTGGTTATTTTCTTAGCCCTGAACTTCAGGTCGAAATGTCGGCATATATAAAAAATAAATATTATAGTTTATTTTTGCCTTTCTTTTTGACTGAACACCCCAACTATTCTTCTCTTCATTATCCACGACAGTCAACCAATTACCAATTATAAATTAATATAATTACAGTTATTTATTAAAATAAGATAAGTACAATAAAATTGCCAGACTGTTCAATTCAGTTGTCCTGCTAATTAGCACAGCATACTCATCAGTCTATTTGATAATATTTAAGAAAAAAATAATTTGTCACAACAATATAATATATAAAAATATATTTATTCTCATAAATATTATATTTCTAATATTATGACTTTCTTCCTATATTAAATAAATGTCTTTTTTTAAATTTTATTAATGCAACAGACAAAGTGGTAAAAGGCAATGCAGGTACATACTAAATTTTAAAAATCACAGTTTATCCATAATAATTAAAGCATGTAGTTTAATATATCACAATTTCATGTTGTATTCATAAGTATTTTCATTTATGTTATTATATTTTGAATTTTGTAAAAGTTATAAAATCAAGGCCCTTACATCGGTTGACATGATTCTCAAGAGCACAAACATTTCAGCATGATGAGAAAAAACTGTATCCATAACAAGCTCAAAAACTGCAAAAGCTTATTATATAATTTATTTTAAAAACCAAAAATAAATATTCAAAGAACTTAAATCATATTTGACTAGAAGTATGAGATAATACTTCTTAAACACAAAATAATTTTATTTTACGTTATATAATACAATAAAAAATAGTATAAAAATAAAATCCTAACACTTAATTACATTTGCCTAAGAGAATGAGATTACATATAAGGATGATAGTATACATTTACTTTACAATGGAAGCTGTCAAGTGCAATTTCAAAATAATTAAATAATGACGTTTTTACTTCCATATATATATATATGATAGATATTGTTTTATGTATTATTTCCTTACATTTCAGTAAAAACAATATCATTTTTTTGCCTAAATCGTTTCACAACAATCCAAATGCCACCAATGATGATAAGTAATGCAGGAACTCCAAGACCAAAACCAACTATTAGTAAGATAAAGAGAGAGAATCTTTCGTTCCCAGGAACTCCAATGCCACCGAGAAATGACCTACAAAAATTATAGTTGTATAAACAGCACAGGAGAAATGAAATACTAATAGTGAGTAAAACAAATATATATAGAAGAAAATAAAAACCTGCAACACAACTCTTGAAAGATTATGGGTTCAGTACTACGTAAGGAAGTACCGTTTCGTAGTCAACAGCTGTGCAAGAAAGTTATTTGAGTGAGACCACACTTAACCGTCAGGTTTACTCCATAAATAATTAATTAAAGGCTATTTTATAGAGGCTGTGTGTGAATTAAAATATAAAAGAAGATGGGGAAAAAAAGTTAAATCTCTAGAACATATGATATGCAAATAGAAAGTAAACAAAAAAAAATATATTTATGATAAATTTCAGAAAATGTATTCCTCTCTTTAACGTCTTTAGTGACACTGCCGTTTAAAATAAACTACCTACGGTAAATTTGTGTACTTTATTTGTTAGCATGTGATGAAAACTCTTCAAATAAAAAAAGATAGATACGCATAAACTCTGTTCGTAAATTGAATAGAATATTTCAATAAAAAAATATTTAATAAATCATTTAATTAGAAACAAATACAACTGCTAATTTCTTATGTTTTCTGCTTATAACATTTCATAGTTGTGTTGTTAACAATTACATTAATTTAAATTATCAAATTGAATTCGATAAAATTAATACAAGACCATTTGTAGACTCTTCCACAAGTTTCCTTCACCTTTTGAGAGAAATTTGAGTTGTTTATAAAATATAAGTGTATCAATGAAAATACGTTTGTGCATCCATAAACAGCAGGCGATGGACATTTTCACACCAATCTCTCACTCTCCTCCAATTTCAGCCCGAATTATAAAAGCCGCATTTGAAATATAGATGTGACAATGAAAATATATTAGTGCATCAGTAAACCCAAATAGTTAATAAAACTGATACAACATTATTTACTTTTTACTAATAATTTAACTGAACTACGAGTCAAATCAAAAGAGCTTTGCTTTGGAGACCTATCAAAGAAAATATGTTTCTGAATACCTCAGCAATGAAATTTGATAAATTGATACACCGTTTTTTTTTTACTAATCCCATACTTTTCTCCTGCTTTGAGGTGAAATTGATATTGAATGATCTTTATTCACTTTTTTTAGCAATAACTTTTCAGAAAATTCCCTTACTTACAGATGAGTTTGATGAAAATCATTGAATATTTCAGAAAAATGAAATTTTCCTAACTTTTACCAATCTATAGATACCCTGGATATGTCTAGGATTCAGTTTGCTTTATTAATAGTCTAAGATTAATTTATCTCATACGTTTTATAAATTGTTATGATTCCCAACAAGTAGAGATGTGCTCAGGCCACCCAGGCCTATGGCTGTTACTATTAGCAGAATAAGAAAATCAAAATATAAAAAGTATGCTGGTAAATTTAAAAGATAAAATGAATAAATGTAATTTTTTATCAATATTCTCACCAAGAAATAAATGGATTTGATGAATATAAAGTATCTCCAGGTTCTCCAAGAGAAACATAAAGTTCTTTCCAAAGCATGAAATCCAGATCGGAGCCAAAAAGAGATACAAGTGCAGTATCATCAAAACACTGAATGCCAGGAAGATCAAACAGACCAGATGAAACACCTGTTGAATTGGTCATTGACCTTTCTAATGATGTATAAGCAACAGTTCTCCATTCTAAATAACCTTGCTTTGATTTCACTTCACCAATCTAAAAGTAATGGACATGATATAATTTCTGTTTTCGCATAAATACTTAGAAAATTTCAAATATTTTTTTAATGAGGAAGATATTGTTAATTCTAAATCAATCAGCAAAAGTTACTTGGAGTGTGATAAAAAATGAAAACATTATCATTTCTTGAGTATCAAAGTTTCACCTACAGTTTTAGGCCTTCTTCAGGGCTGCTCATCTTAATTTTTTAATACAAGGGCCTTTAATTAAAAAAAAAAAAAGGCACTTGTTTTGAAAATTTCAGACAAGAGCTCTGATAAAGCCCTAAACATTGGTGCACAAGAAAATAAAGCCAGGTTTAAAATAGACTATAGAAAAATACTAAGGTGATTACAGTAAAAATTCCAGGTGAGTGTTCATCATCAAGACTTTTCCGGGAATGCAGATGCATAGTACTATTGGCAGAATCTGAACTGACCAATGCTAATCCAAGAGCAAATCTAGATTTGAAGTGCTTAGTTGTTGAAAGATTTTCAAACTGAATATCTATTTGGGTTGCATTTGTAGTATGTAATAAATGAGGCTGCAAAGAAGAATGTTCCATAGTCCCAAATGCTGATAACTAAAACAGACACTTATGTATAAATTTTAATTTTAATTAAATTAACTTTAAATTTAAAAAAAAAGTTGACTTACTGTAATACTAATACATCCTTTTTTTAAAAGGTGTGAATAATGTTTGTGGTCAGTTTTCATTGTAACAGAAGCATAGCTAGTGGTATTAACATATTTATCTAATACCCATTTAAAATTTGTGTCATGAACAATTGAATCAGATTTATTGTACACAGTAGGATCAAAAATTGCAGTATTGTTGACATCATTAAATTCTATTACCTTAAAAATTGTAAGATAAATAAAACATTAAAATAAAAAAATGAATACAATAATACAAACAATAAATAATAAGGCTTAGCAAACTGAGAGGTAAGATAACGATACCATTATCTAACTATCATTGACTAAATATCTCTTATTGATAAATACTTTAATCGACAAGATAGGACCAAAAAAAAAAATAATAATAATAATGTGAGGTACTAAATAACATATTAGTCATAGGAACAAAAGTAGTATCATTAAAGTTAATAATTTCAGAAAACCGAACATTAGATTATGACTATTATATTTCAAGCCTACTTTCCAGAAATACTCTGGTTAACAAAGTACAAACTAAAGTTATTATAAAATATAAAAATTTCAGGCATCACTAAAATAAGATTCACTTTCTTGTCATTGTTTTTTTTTTTTTTTTTTTTTTTCAGTATCTCCTAAAATTTATACTTGATATAAACTGGGTTTCAAGTTCACAAGAAAGCCCAATCTGATTTTTTGTTGAGGAGCCGATCAGATTTTGTTTACATCCTGACAACATATGCTAAATGGGCCAACCAGAACCAGCAAACTAAGCTGTTAAAACAATATTACGTAAAAAATAAATCAAACATCAAATTACATAAAAAAAACTATACTGTAATACTGGCAAGAATCTCAGAATCATATGTGTAAGATGCAGATTGCCTTTTTTTTAACAGCCTGGCCAATAACTGTGACCAATAGGTCAATTATTTATTTTTTTGATCGATCTCTGATGTTCCTAATTATTACTAGGAAAATCAGATTGATCAGAAAAAAATCATTGAGAATTTATAACAGTTTTGATGATTGCTAGATGAAAACAAATCACTAGATTATTAATATTCTGTTAGACTTACAGATATGTAACAAAGATCCCTTGAAATTTTAAAAAATTGGATGGTTCAGCATTCATTGCTTTCAAAGGTATTTCAATTGCTTTTTAATTATGAATGTTTATCAAATATGGTAAAATTTACCTGGCCTAAAGAAAAAAAGGTTAAATAAAAGTTCAATTTTGAAGTTTCATTCAGTACAGCATTATAAATCAGTAAAAACTTTAAATACATTTTAGAGTTAAAGAGAAAAATGATTGGTTTTTATTTAAAATTGTTCACTCTTTTAATCTCAAGCAAAAAATATCTTATATACTTTATATATCTTTCAAAACATTAGCCATATCCTGTATAAATATTTTTTTATGGAAGGAATTCTATGATTTTCAGTAAAACTTGGTGTCAGCCAGGAAAAAAAGTATGATGAAAGCAAAAAAAAAAAAAACAGTTATCTGTGTTAAATGTTTTGAATTTATTTGATCAAAATTATAAAGTTATTTAATCAAAACCCAGCAAACCATAGCTAAATAGAACATTTTTTAAAAAAACAACATAGCAGTTAAAGGGATGATTTTATGAATTCACTCTCTTTTCCAGGCAGAGTACAAAATCCCTACCCAAAGACAAAAGATACAGCAACCTTATATACTTAAAATGTAAAATATGTTACCAGGGTTCTATAACACTTAAAGAAGGTAAGGGCTAAATTACTGCGAGAAACTGGTCTTTATATCCTCACGGGATGTATAAAGAAATGATTTCCCGCAGTCAATCACAGCAGAAAACAACCCTCACTACACTGATTTAGTGAACAGATAGAAAGACACTGGAGGACTCAGGACAGAGATTTGAACATCATTATAGACTTCACCTGCAGAAGTGAGAGGTTACGTAGACATGCATAACATCATACACTCTTATTGCCTTAAAGGCACAGTAAGGTTTAAATAAATAGCAATAAAATAGATAACAGGGAGCCAGTGGTGGAAGACAGCTGTATATTCTTCCTCAGCCACTGGACATAAATACTATGAAAAATTTATCACATCTCTTGACTAGAATATAAAAAAAAAAAAAAAAAATTGGAAACAATCAGCTAGATTTATTTACAACTATTGTCCACTATATTCTGAGATATCTACTAGATTTTATTTATAACATAAATTTACTTTATGTATTTATAACATACATTTACTTTTTGTTAAGAATTAAATGCAAATAATAATTTTGGCTAGACAATTTTTTTTTTTTTTTTTGTTTCAATAAAGCTAAGATCTTCACTTTTGTACATTTTAATTTATTTAGTTTTCAATACACATTTTAAATTTGTCAAGTTCATTTTTATTTCCTTATGTCAACTAGTTCTATACAATCGAATATTAGTACTAGCTCCAAAACAGTACTCTAAGATAATCGCTTGTCTGAACAATTATGAATATATTGAGCACAAGGTAGATGGGTTTCTTAGGAATGGCAAAAGTAGCTCTTAGGAATGGCAAAAGTAGCTAAGTATTGTGACAATCATATTTACATACAATGAAAGAAGTGCCCTAAGGATATAGAGATGTGTTTAAACGACAAACTAAATTTTGATTGCAATAATGCTTCAATTTAATCACTATTGCCTTAATTTAATTTATAGCAACATAAACATTATTCGTATTGATTGAGCTTAATATGAATGAGTTTATCAGACCATAGTTTTAAGATAAGAAACATAAAATCTATGATTATTTCAAGATGGTCCAGGAGCCAGTTGGAAATAATACCAACTATTTATTAAAAGCTTTAAATAAAATGTTAACACTGTTTGATATCATTTTTATCTGACACCCAGACCAACTTTTTGATTTCCCATATGGTCAATTATCAACACATAGCTTCTTTTATTTTTCAATATTTAATTTTTTTAAATAAATGGAATTTTTTACCAACAGCTGACAAATATTTTGATAAGTTCACATTGTTATTTATGAATAAAAAGTGAATATGGTGGTGGCTAAACCTAAGATAAACAATCTGTAATAAATATTATATTCTATAATAAATAAACATCCTACAATAAAGTATGAATTTAACTTCCTAATATTTCAGGTAATTTACTAACAGAGTTAACGATCAGTCGTATCCCTCCTTTTTGTCACTACATTGTAGCTGAAATTCCCATATGATAATAAGATATCTGTTTACCTTTTATCGAGAGACAAATAGTGCCAAAGCAATTCTTGCTGGATCTTATCACTAATGGCATTAAAAATAGTAAATACAACTTAACATGCATCAGATAAAATGTACAACTATCAAAATGTTCAACCTTGTCAACAAGATAAGAAAAGGTGTAAAACGGCAATGGTGAAAATTGCAATGCTCCTTCTTCATAATTCTTAAAGCTTGTCCAATTTATCATAAGAGTTGTGTTCAAAGGTGATAGAGCAAGTACAATTGTTGGTTTATTAGTGAAGTCCCAAATATGATGTAATGTATCATTTAACCCATCAGCTCTAACATAAATAAGAATATTAGAATCCTGTTTGCATTCAGCACCACAACCAGGATTAATGGCCATGGTTATCTAAAAATATAAAATAAAATTATAGTAATTCTAGTTTAATATTTTTTATTTGAAAAACAAACAATAACAATAATAATCATTACATATATTATCACATTGTATCATTACCTTTCTATCTTCAGCAAAAGAAAATTTTGATAACAAAACTATTAGGATAATTTGTAAAATCATTATAAAAAAACTTAATTTTTACAAGGCGAGACACAAATCCTAAATTAGTTATCGTCAGCTCAGATACTACGAACTTCTTCGGACACCATTATAACCTCACTGTCAGTTTTTAAAATGACTTTTCTTGATTTAAATTTGAATGAATTGGCGGCAATATTTTAAGTAGCAAGTAAAATGAAGTAAGAAAATGAAAAATATTTTGAAATGATTACAATCTTATAAAAGTAGCATTATTTATGTATCTTACAATCGGTATGTTGTCAGTACGATAAGAATAGTTGTCTACCCAACATTATTAAGTCACATACAGATTGTGGTGGCCTATTTTTGTGTGCAGTCACCGAAATCATGGCCGAAGAAGCTGCTGTTGAAAATTTACCAGTAAATAGATTTTTTTGCCATAAATGCAGCCGAGAAATAAGTGGAGTACTACCAGTAAGTACTGTATTAATTCAGACTATTCCACTTAAACATAGTTTTAGGATGAATCTACTCATGTCATAACCTATATTCAATTTTGATCGAACTTTAGTTGTTTGTGTATTCTTTTGTATAATCTAACTGGCAACCCTTTTTAAATTGTTTTATAAGTTTAATTTCGTTTAGTTTGGTTTACATTACATCATATTATCTATATTAGTCAGTTATGACATTCTAATGTGTCTCAATCTAATGTCACTTTAAGCTGTCTTCATTGTTGATAAAATTTCGTATATTTTTGTTACCCTCAATTGTCATGTCAGGAAGTTATCTGTGTAATCATGAATGTTTTAGAATGCATTAATATTTATTTTTTATTTGACTTTCCTATTTATTTAAGTATTATCATATTTTAGTTGTTGATTGATATTGTCCTTTATCTGTGAGTTTTAATTGTTTTTTTGTATTTGCCTTATAACACTCCTATATAATATCACTATTCCTTCTATATATTGTTGATTTTGTTTTGTTATCAGTGTGAGTTAATCTAATTTAGTTGTCACTGTAGGTACTTACAATTTAAAATTCTATTCATCCTTCCGATAAATATGATTGTATCATCCAGTATATTAAATTGTAATCTGCTATAATGTGGAAATGAAATTGATACATTTATTTCAATTTTCTCTAAATAGTTATCGAAACTTTTATCCATATATATTAGCACTATCCTCCATCAATTTTTTTTTTCATTTGTTCATTTGCAATCAACTCTGATTTTTCCATTTTCTAATTTTAGGTAACATAGATATCGAGAAAACTTAAACAAGACCAAGTTATGTTTTAGTGATTTGTCTGGGCGTTTTTAATTAATATTATATTTTGTGACTATTTTATCAAAAAATGTTTCTAACTTAATGTAGTCTTATTATTTGAGTTTACTTAAGTTGTTAATCAATATTGATGTGTTTTTAAAAATCTAGGTTTATGTTTGATTGCCTGTAATGCTCCATTAATTATTGCATTTATTCTATAAATGTAATATTATTTTTTCTGATTAGTAACAGTTAATGTCCCAGAAATAGGCTGGCTACTGTTATCAGTCTTAGGTTATGTTTTCTTCCCAAATTTTTCACCAGTTTAGTTAATGTTATACTTTTTTTCAATTTGTTTTATTGCTGTTCAAAAACTAACTTAGTTTCTACAATAGTTATTAAGTTGTTGAGTGTATTAATGCTGACTATATCACTTCCCCTTATACCTTTAGGCTAAGAAACCATACTTTCTTATCAAGAAAGTATACCCATACTTTTCTTTGCAGTGATGTGACCTCTCTTTTCGTATTCAAGTTAGTTAAGAAGTTCAGTCACACACATGTGGAAATTATATATATATTTTTTTTTTATTTATAGTTCTCACATATAATGTCTGTGACTTTTGACTGAACACCACCAACTAACTTCTCCTTAAATCAGAATTCCTGTTAATAATTTCCATACCTTATCTTTTTTTACTCCTTTTAGTATATATGAGTTTTTTAATCCCTACATTAAATTCACTTGAATAATATCCAAACCTTGTGTAATAACAACAATATTCATATTTATGTCCTATTATTCACTTGAGAATAACAATCAACAATAGACCCTGTACTATTTATCTTATTCAGTCTTTAATCCTAATTTTCTGTAAGAAAGATAAAAAAGAAAGATGTAAGCTATCTCTCTCAGTTAACATACCTTGCGGGAAAATCAATGATTTGAATGGAAGTCAGGATTTTGAATATTGAATTTTGATTTAATTTAATATAGCAGGTGTTGCTACATTAATTTCATTGCGGATGATTGCTATAGAAGGATGAATAATGGCAGAATTTAGAGTGATGAGGATCCTTTGACCCTTATAATGCTGATTAAAATATAGCTGATGTTAGGATTCTCTCACATAAAAACAATATGTTGTTAGCACAGGGGGCAAAGACTGTTTTTATTAAACAATCATCTTGATAGTTGCCATCCCAAGATAAAGATATATGTTTGACGCAGTAGTTGTCTGAAGCATTTCATTATATACAAATTTATCTCCTGTTGCTAATAGTCAAAGCTCCCTGTTGCAAGATTTCTGGAGCTGTGAAAGGCTTGATAACTGCATCATTTATTAATTTTTTGTTGTAATCTACCGTTTTCTATAAATTTTTGATGAAAGAATTGTTATCTCTTTTGCACTACACAGTTATTTTTAGGTTAATAACATTACAATCACTTTGTTTTAGTCTTTTTTCTTTTTTTAATGACTTATAGAAAAGATTTATTTTTCCATTAAAAACATTTGCTTAAATTGCTCAGGCTGCTGCCGAAGCAAAGTTTTCTCTGGCCCACATTGCTTAGAACTCTTGTCTCATCACAACTCTTCAGCTTTGGAAGAAAGGTAAGTAGGTTTCCCTGGGATTTTCTTTTTTTTTTTTTTTTTTTTTTTTTGACATCCTTAACTTCCAGGAGTAATGTAGTTAATCAGGCAAAGATCATTAAGTTCTCTAAGTAAGTACTGCCTACTTGGTGGATCGTTTCACTCACTTATCTGAAGTTATGTTTGTTTGTTTTTGGCTGGTTTTGTATTTTATTAGGTAGCGGGTTCATTGAGTAAGGCAATGTGCTCCTGAGGCTGATTTCGAATCTGACTGGCAGATATTCTGTTCCATTATAGAACAGAATATAGAATTAGTTTTTCTTTAGAGATGGGTATGTAGTCGACCGATCAATTATAAGAATGAACAAAATTTTCAGAAATATTATTCAAGATATTTTTATTGGCTTAGTCGACGTTTTGACCCAAACATATGGGTCAAAATGTCGGCTAACCCAATAATAATATCTTGACAGAAATTCCTGAAAATTTTGTTTCATAATTAGTTTTTCTGTTCAGAACGACCCTGGGCTCCAGAGACTCCGGGTACACCTAGTTTCTAAAGTTGGTAACCTTATTTGGAGAAAAAACCTGATGATAGAGTGTGATTATTAGCCCGAATCACCTTGTACAACGGTTGGCAACTGTATCCCCTTACTTGGTACTGAACCCAATATCCTTCATGGATTGGAATGGTACAGTACTTTTTTTTCTTCTTCAAATCACATCTGAATTCTACACAATCCAGGTATTCAAACTTTATCCTGAAATTTCCTTTTCAGGTCACTAGTTTGAGTCTGATTTATTTAGCAGCTTTTATTGATTTACTCTAATTTAGCACATTGCAGGTCTATAGTTTATAAGAAATATAAAAGAACTTTGAATGATTTCATTTAAGTCAGGATGGACTTTTGGGTCCATCAGTTGAGAAACAGATGACTTTGATGCAGTCTGTGAGAGGACACCACTATAAGCAAAGCCTTTGATGGGAAATGGTTTAGCCAGTCTGTATAGTTTTTGTTTATATCAGTAGATTCTAAGACATATCACACTTTCTATGTCTGCCGGTACGATATAGCAGTGCATATTTGTGGATCAACAAACAGCCCCAATTTTTTCCTCACAAAGTGCTCTCCCCTTGCAGCCATACCTTCTTTCAGGGCATCATAGTAGTGAAGCCTCTTTAAGCAACTAATTATATACCACATTTTATCTTTAACATCACATAATGATCAATAGGGAGCATTTACCATAGATGTTAATCAATAAGTAAATATAAATAGTAAGCTATTACACTGGCACCCATTAATATTGTTTTCAGTCAAATTAATTAAAGTATAAGGATAAAATTTTAAACATAATGATAAAACCATCAACTAAAGAACAATAATTCATTTTTTTTTTTTTAACATGTTTAAAGTAGGTAGATAAGAGCGTACCTATCCTTAGAGATGGGCAGTACTCGATTACTTTCATGATTTATTGATTTCATGACTCGGCGAGTACTGAGAGTACTCACGGTGTCATATCGAATTACAGAAAGTACTTATAGTCTGTGGGCCAGACCCCCTTACCGTGCACCCCCCCCCCCCCACATCCCTATAAATTGCATATCGTTGTGTTCCTTGTAACAATTTATTAAAAAAAAGCCAATGTTCTCACAAAAAAAAGTGAACGCACTGCCCCAAAATGGCGTCCAAAGATGGCGGATTGACGACTTTGACTTTAGTTAGTTTTTTGGTCACTGAGAATCAGCATTAAGCTTAATTTCCTCATAGTTGGTCTTTTATTAAAGCTGAATAGTTATAGAATAATAAAACATGAAGAAATATTAAAAAATAATTGGCTAAGGCTATGAAAAACACCAGTAAAGTCAATTTTTTTAACAAAAAAATTTTCAAGTTACAAATCAAGCGTCGTTTGTAATTAAACGGCCAACAATAACGCAAAACGTGCTGAAATAAACTATCTGGAGAATATATTTCTCTTTCTGAAACGTTGATTATTTTTTACAAATATTTAAGTAGTTCCGTAAAAAATGCACTTATGCGGCAGAAAAGCGGTACTGGCGTGGGTGCCTACAGGCCTCTACCACACCATTAAGTGCCCATAAATGGCTTAGTTATAGTGATATAATAACATTTTTGGTACATTATATTGGTTTTATTAACGAATAAATATTAATGCAATAATTTAATAGTAAAAAAAAAAATTAAAATTAAAAAAATTTTTTTTAAATTATTTTTTTAAATTTTAACCTCCTTTATTCTATACGTAGGTCGTTTAAGAATACCTCAATTGTAAAAATGATATAATTATAATAATAAAACTTAATTAAAAAATATTTTGCTAAATATCTTGATTTTTTTTTATTTAACGTTTGCAATTTAACACTGTGTTTTGAATATTTACTGATTCTAAGAAGTAATTAAAATTTTTATATACTTCCCAGGAAATGAGTCATA